TCACCTTGGGTGTCTTTAGCTCTTAATAAAAAATATTGACCAGGTTTGTGCCCCAAACAATTCGGTTTCTTATCCTTACAATCGGCGTACTTAAACGTGTACAAACACACACTTTTATTGACTTGTTTACGTTCAATTAAAGCGAAAATTGTATAAGAAGTGGGACTAACCGCGTTGATTGCCTCCGATTTTGGGCTACTGCCACACAATTGATATTTTTTCAATTGAGCTTCGTAGACGTCCAAAATGCAAGGGTTACAACCCGAATTGCAACAGTCAGACTCGTTCGGGGGCTCGGGGAGCTCCATAACCTAAAAACAAGCCAAAATTGTAAAAATTTGTCAATTTCAAATAAATTTAATGTGTAAAGTGCGCATGCACGCGTTGGAAATTTAGTGATTTTCGTGTCGCAAGTGTGGTGATTTCTCGCTGTCAATTGTCAAATCTCTTCTCGTGTGTCAGTCCAAGATGGCAGTAGGAAAAAATAAGGGCCTTTCAAAAGGGGGCAAAAAGGGTGTCAAGAAGAAGATGTAAGTGTAAAATTTGTACTAATTTGTGGTCTTTGGACCTTTCTTGGCGTCCTTCCAGTCAAAGTTTTGCGAAAATTGGTCGGATGGTTGGGAAAAAATCCGATATTGGAAGACATGCCGCCGCTTCCAAGTCATAAATAAAATGTTTGTTTTAGTGTGGACCCTTTCACCCGCAAAGACTGGTACGATGTGAAAGCCCCGTCGATGTTTGCCACCAGACAAGTGGGCAAAACACTTGTGAATCGTACACAAGGGACAAAAATCGCGTCGGAGGGCCTCAAGGGCCGAGTCTTTGAAGTGTCTTTGGCCGATTTGCAGAACGATAATGACGCTGAGCGCTCCTTCAGGAAGTTCAGACTTATTGCGGAGGACGTGCAAGGTACGTGCGCTTGGTTTTAGCCCCCTTTATGACTACATTTTAATGATGAGACTTACCCAGCTCGCATTGAATTTAAATGTGTTGAAAATTGATTTCCCTATAAGACTGATTAGATTTTGGGTTTTGAATTCTTGGCCCCCAAGTGTGACAATGGTTGAATTTTTGGGTGGTTTCAGGTCGCAACGTCTTGACCAATTTCCATGGAATGGACTTGACCACTGATAAATTGCGTTCAATGGTTAAGAAATGGCAAACTTTGATTGAGGCTTCAGCTGATGTCAAAACCACCGATGGATATTTGTTGAGAGTTTTTTGCATCGGGTTCACCAATAAGGACCAATTGTCGCAACGAAAAACTTGTTRCGCCCAACATACGCAGGTAATTCACCCACAAAAAATAATTTTGAATTTATCCGTTTTTTTTTATGATGAGATACTCAGCTCGCATTGACTCAAACATGATGAGAATTTTATGTTCCCTAAAAAATCAAAGTCTGAATTAAATTTCAGATGAAAATATTCGCTAAGTTGTGACAATTGTTTATCTAGTTTTATTTCTAGGTTCGTGGCATTCGCAAGAAGATGGTGGAAATYATCACCCGGGACATCACCGGAAGTGACCTCAAGGAAGTCGTCAATAAACTACTTCCGGATTCCATCGCCAAGGATATTGAAAAGGCCTGTCAAGGGATTTACCCCCTTCATGACGTGTACATTCGTAAAGTGAAAGTTTTGAAAAAGCCCCGTTTCGAGCTCTCAAAACTCCTAGAATTGCATGGAGATGGGGGTAAGGGAGGCTCAGGCGAACCGGGAGAAGCCGGTGCTAAAGTAGACAGACCTGAGGGCTATGAACCACCAGTCCAAGAGTCTGTTTAATTTAATTGTTTATAAGAAAAACTTAAAAAATCATAAACGTTTTATTACGTATTACAATGATTTTTTCAATTGACTCAATTTAGTCAACGCCAAATCCCTCCAATTCCTGCGTTCCTGTAACTTATCAAGGGGGACTGCACTTTCCAATTGTTTGGCGATTTCTTGAACAAGGGGGCCTTCCCATTTCTGCAACGGTTTAAAGTCCTTACTGACCGAATAAATCGTGTTTGAATATTTTTTGCAATAGTCGACGAAGCCTTCAGCGTTGAGATGAGTGGTTTCAAGGGGGCCCAAAAAGGCGTACCGCATGCCCAAACCGTCAGACATGACTTTATCGATGTCTTTGACGTCGAGGACTCCATCGGAGACGAGGTTCCAAGTTTCGTTCAAAAGGGCGTATTGGAGTCGATTGACCACGAAACCGTTGACTTCCTTGGAGAGGGAAACGGGAGTTTGCCCAATTTCCTCCATAATAGCGCGAGTTTTTTTAGTAACTGCCGGGTCAGTCCATGGGGCTGGCACAATCTCGACAAGAGGCACATAATAAGGGGGATTCACCGGGTGCGAAACCACTAGGTTTTTCCTACAAATCACATTTAAAATTACAGAAACCTGTAATTTAAATTTACTTGTTTTTGAGATGATCGGAAAATAATGACGGGAGGAAAGACGACGTCGAGCTTGAGAAAATCGTGTTGGGGCCAGCGACGTCATCCACGCTTTTCCAGACTTTCCTTTTCAATTCTAGGTTTTCAGGGACGCATTCTTGGACCAAAACGGCGTCTTTCACGGCCTCGGCCAAGCTGGTCGTGCCTTTAATGCATGCAAACTGTTGACTCGAGTTCAATTTCCCGCGTAAAAGTCCGTTTTTTTCCAAAAGTTTCAACTGTTGTTCAATGTCGGCTAAAGCCGACTTGATTTGTTTGGGCTCAATGTCGTAAATAACGACTTGGTAGCCCACATTGGCGAACAACATGGCCCATGAGCGGCCAATAAGGCCACTAAAAGGATTCAAGTAAGGTTTTTAATTCTGATAATGAAGAATCTCACCAACCTGCCGACTATTCCGATTTTTCGTGACATTTCAAGTGGAAATCACTGACACAATTGTGGAAAATCTCGTCGGTGGATCTTATTTATGTAATTATCGCGAGATTACGGTATTTACAGTACTCTCTACAGTTTTGATTAACCGCAAGGTCAGAAGTAAATAAAAGTCATGTTATAGATATAGTTTTTGTTTAGCGGTCCGTTATCTCTGAAAATAATTACTTTTTTATTTATGGGCCAAGTTTGAAGGTTTAATTGGGGTCTAGGTGACCTCAATATAACGAGATTCGATGGCAAAGACTGTTGAGTATTTTATTATTGACTATTTTCTGAAGAAAAAAAGTTACTAAAAATTTATAATTAAAATAATTGTAATTTTGTGTTGCATTTGTAACTATCGTGAATGGAAGGTTTCAAAAACTGAAAACCATTAACTGATAAGACAAATACTGATAACATTTTGATGTTAATTTACTGTTTTAACAGTATTTTATCTTGTGTTTTATAACAAATTTTGGAAAATATTATATAAATACTATTGAAGGAAAGAATAATTTCGATATTAATTAACAACTTCTTTACATTTTTTGGTTTTATGTGTAAATTTATAGATAAATAAAATTACTTGTTCGATTTTGTAAACATTATGCAATACTTACATTAGATAAAAATAAAAACGGAATATAAATTTTCTACTTGTAAACGAACACTTCTTCACTAATTGATTTTCACAATTTTTCTCAATTAATAGCGTGCAATAATACCTAAAAAATCACAATTCTTGAAAATTAACACAAATAAAAGGTCAATGACACCGCAATTCATCGTTTTCGCTCTTTTGCACACTCGACTAATGTCTATTTCGATCAAACGAACACCTGTCAAAAAATCGATCACATCGCAGCGGTCCCAAAAATGTCGTTACAATACATCAAAACTGCGTTTTTAACCCTTTGTTACATTACACGATAACATTTCACACTTCTCATACAATATAGACATTGACTCACCTGACATTTCATCATTTTTCAATAATTTCAAAATAAGCTTAAAATTTAATCAACCGGCAACCACAGTTTGACAATTCCTGAAATCCGTGACCTCTATTTGTCATTGAATGGCAAAAGCATTGGAATCGCAAGATTGGCGAGAGTTGTGTGCCGGCTGTCCCTGTACTGCCCCCGAAATGGCTTTAAACAAACTATCAATCGATGCTTTACAATTGGCCAACAAACGTGTCCTCATGAGGTAAAACCCCCGATTTGAAAACTCATTTTCAATTTTAAACCTTCAGAGTTGACTTCAACGTCCCCTTGAAAGACGGTAAAATCACCAACAACCAACGCATTGTCGCCGCTCTCGACACCATCAAATACGCCTTGGACAAAAATGCCAAAAGCGTCGTCCTCATGTCGCATTTGGGCCGCCCTGACGGCAGCCCCAACCCTAAATACACCCTGAAACCGGTCGCTGCTGAACTTAAGACCCTCCTAAACAGGTAACTCCACCTCAACCTATCCCTAACTCCTCCCTTCTGTTCTAGACTCGTCACAGCTAACTCATGTGGCGATTCCCCTAAATTCCCTAAAAGGTTCACTTCGCTCCGCCTTAACCCCACCCTAAATTTTCTGTTCGCAGAGACGTTACGTTCCTTCCCGATTGCGTCGGCCCCGATGTGGAGAAAGCCTGCGTTGACCCCGCCCCCGGCTCGCTCATCCTCCTCGAAAACCTGCGTTTCCACGTCGAGGAAGAAGGCAAGGGTGTTGACGCCGCTGGTAAGAAAATCAAAGCTGACCCCGCCCAAGTCTCCGCCTTCCGACAGAGTCTCCGCAAATTGGGCGATGTGTACGTCAATGACGCGTTTGGAACCGCCCATCGTGCGCACTCCTCCATGATGGGGGAGGGGTTTGACCAACGCGCAGCCGGATTTCTCCTCAAAAAGGAGTTACAATATTTCGCAAAGGCGTTAGACAAGCCCGAAAAACCCTTCCTTGCGATTCTGGGCGGAGCTAAAGTCGCCGACAAGATCAAACTCATCGAAAATCTATTGGATAAAGTCCAGGAAATGATCATAGGGGGCGGGATGAGTTATACCTTCCTTAAAGTGACCAAAAACATGAAGGTAATTATTTATTTGGGATTTTATACGGCATAATCGAGATTGAGTGCAACAAAAATGCCCGAAAAAAATAACGTATAGAAGGCATTGAGTGTGTACTCGTGACGTTTGTTATCTTTGTCACACCCATGAATCTCGTATGTTGTTTCTCGTTCTTCTACTTGTATTTCCTCGATTTGTGGTGGGGGAAGAAGCAATCGCGTGTCACACTCGATGATTGGTTGGTAGTACCAAGACGCGCATGCGTACACCTTTGGTATATCCTCATAACTCACATAGTTGATTACAGTAGGCGGCGGCTCAATTATTTGTTTCAAACCATCGAAAAACTCAAGAACATTACTGACTCCAGTTTCAGCTTTCTTGTTTTTGGTTCGGCTATCGTCGTAGAATTTCGTATAAATACTGTCGATTTTTTTGATCACACTATCGACTTGTCCTAGGAGTCTTTCCCCCTCTTCAATGTTCGCCGCTTTTCGGGTCTCTTCGTCCCTTGCCGATTTAACTAATTTCACTTTATCTCTCTTAACTTCCGTTTTTTTCTTTAATTCTTGATCTCCACCTTCTCGTTTTACTGTCGTGACCATTCGTTTTAGTTTCGGACGATTGGCTTCGTCCTTTTCCGGTTCTTCTCGTTGACTTTCGTTCATCATTTTTAAAACATTGGTAATTTCCTGTTCCATGGCACAAAAAGCCTCTGAACTCGACGCATCCGTCGGCGATGATAACAAATCGATCATTTTTGTCTCAATCACATCGATTGCTTTTTGTATATTTTTCTGGATGTTGTCGTTACGCAATTTCAGACCACGTAATTGGTCCAACATTTCTTGCTTGCGTTCGGGCGGAAACGGCACAGTTCGGGGACATTCAGGGATTTTTGCGAGCTCAGGTTTGCCACCACCACGGGGACAATCGGGGATTTTTGGAAGTTCGGATTTACGTTCGGCCGGTTTCGTCAAGTCGGTCACTATGATGTTGGTGCGAGGCGATTCACTTTTTTCTTTCGTTGGAAAATTATCATAAATCACTTTGATGGGCATCACGATTAGACTTTGGGGCACATGTGTTAAATATTTGTGTTCGGGGGCTGTCAAATATTCGATTAAATTCTTGACGTTTCTAGCTTTTTGTTGTGATATTTGTGACAATTTTCTTTTTCTTTCTCTAATTTCAGTCGGTGTTAGGAGTTTTTTCCAAACTGTATCATTCTCGTCCATCATACGGTGTAAATAACTTTTCGCTTCTTTTAATTTCATGCTGCCAATATTATCGCGTCTAGGGTATTCACTTTTGATAGGTTGGACATCATTTCTGTCAATATCATCCAAGAGATCGTAACATTTTAATTTTGGGCGGACTAAATTCTGACGAATTTTCCCAGTCCGGTCCTGATTGTTCACCGGACATGGTTGTGAACTCGTCACTAATAAACTGCAACAATTGGACCCTGGAAAACAAAAAAATCTCTAGATTTAAATAATTGGAGTTTTTTGTTTACCCGCCAAACTCTCGTGTTTTTTCGTCGATTTTGCCGATTGCGTTTTGTTTGGTTTCTGGGGGAAAAACCACAAACTCCCCGCGTATTTTTCTTCCAGTTCTTGATTTTTTTTCGATCTAGTTCTGCGTTTCTCCTCTGGTTTACGTTTCATCAATTTAATGAAGCCCTCAAGGCTGTCCGAAGCGACCAATTGTTGCATTAGTTTGTCATGGAGGTCCTGTTGGGGCTTCCCGCGTTGAACCTCAGGTTGTATATCGGTGAAAATCGGGAATTTGAGCGGGGGCTCCACCGATGGTGACTCCGAGAGGGCGTTTGCCTGAATCGTGACTTTCTGGAGGGATGTTTTCGATTCGATTTTCTCGAGACAGTCTTGGAACTCGTCTTCGGGCTCTTTCACCGTTTTGAGTTTTTTGAATTCGTTGATGAGTTTCGGGTCGCGACCCCCTGAGATCACCAAGTCGAATAATTTCTTGTGGAAACGCTCGATTTCGTCTAGTTTTTCGTTAATTCGTTTTGCGTGTTCTTTGAGGGTGATTCTAACCTCATCGAATTCCATCAAGGGTGAATTTTTAACGTCGTTTTTATTGTACATCAAACATGACAGAAATGATGGATTTTTCTCAAGGAAACTCGTCCTAGCAGCGATTTTCACGGCGAGTTCCTCCAATCCGTTGCAATTTTTCAGGAAGGCATTTTCCAGCTGGTGATTTACCAAATTCAAAGCCAATTTCACGCTTTTCGTGTATTCTTCACACGCCTTCTCGATGGATAACTGAGTCTCAAGGCCCCCCGTATCATCGCCGGTTTTAATTTTCGAAATCTCGTCCATTTTTTGTATTTTTCATAGAACCATCAATTTTGACAGTGGGTGAAAAAAATTGTTTGCAACGCCAGTCTGATTTTGTTTTCCAGATTGGCAATTCGTTATACGACGAAGAGGGGGCGAAAATCGTCAATAATTTGCTAGAAAAAGCGAAGAAAAACAACGTTCAAATTCACCTACCTTGCGATTTTGTCACGGCGGATAAATTCGACGAGAAGGCGCAAGTAGGGAGTGCTACACTCGAATTGGGGATTCCCGATGGTTGGATGGGATTAGATATAGGACCGAAGACTATAGAATCGTTCAGAGCCCCCATTCAAAGAGCTAAAGTTATAGTTTGGAACGGGTAAGTTGGTACGATTGAATTGACATTTGTCATCACAGCCAACTTTTTACAGACCAGCCGGTGTTTTCGAATTTGATAATTTCGCAAAAGGGACCAAAGCCATTATGGATGAAGTGGTAGCGGCGACACAAAGGGGCTGTGTCACAATTATTGGTAAAAAATCACGTTTTTTGACCGATTTTTTTTAATTTGGTGATCTAGGTGGCGGTGATACCGCAACTTGTGCCGCAAAATGGAAGACTGAAGATAAAGTTTCACACGTTTCGACAGGCGGAGGCGCCAGTTTGGAATTGTTAGAAGGAAAAGTCTTACCGGGGGTCGCAGCCCTATCAGATGCTTGAATTTCCACAAATTTGTTGTAAATTAATTGTAATATAATAGTAACTTTGATTTTGTGTGGTTGGTACGGCGATATAAAATAAAATGGCGGATTTTCCCAAACTATTTAAATAAATAACAAACAACAATTTTCACCTTTTACATTACATTGCACTGATTGGGGTCGGCGTTGTTTTGCATTTCTAGCGGTAAAGGGGGCCCCACGTCGCCTACTAGATCGGTCGGGGGTTGTCCATAGTCTTGCAACTGATTTTTTAAAAAATCAATATTTTGTTACTATTTTTATTAGAAAAACAAACCTTTTGCATCAAACTTAAAACCTTGTCAAATCTATCCTTCTTTTGCTCACTACTATCGCTTTCCTTCTCCTTTTCCAACTCTGTACAAATCTCCTCCATTAATTTCTGTTGTTTTTCGTATCTCTCCGCATCTTCCTGACTCAACTTGTCTTTATTTTTGTCCAACCAATCTGGAAACTTGTCTAAAATGTCCTTCAAACTGGGATAGAGCACATCCTTGGACAACAAACTCTGCATCATCCCTTGCATGAAAGGCATAAAGGCGTTTTGGTCCCCTTGTCCCGCAAACAAATTCATAATATCCTGTTCCAAATTGGGGTTTTGCAGCCCCTCAGCCCCTTGACTCAACCCCTGAAGAGTCTGTGATATCGTCGCGGCGAAATCATTCGAATCTCCACTCGGGTTTTCTATAACTTGTTGTGCCGTTTCGGCGATTTGTTGAAACTTGGCCTGGATCTCTTCGGGACTCAATTGGGCCCCATCGGGGTTCGCCCCAAGCAAATTGGCGAAATTTGACTCGAATTGAGCGGCGGCTTGCCGGATAAAATCGTCCGACCATTCCGCATCGGGGACTTCGTCCTTGGGGGCCTCTTTCGGCGGATCACTCTTGAAGTCTTCCAAAGCACCTTGAAACAGGGACAAGTTACGCAATCGAATTTTAAACACAGCGACTCACTGTCCAGCAGCTCGGACAACTCGGCGTCCACCTTCCCCGAATCGGGCTTTTTTGAGTCACTCATTGTTGTAAAACGGGTAAAAAACGGGAAGCTTTGTACGAAATTTACAAAAGTGAGGTTAGGGAAATATCAGGTGATTTGGGGACCAGTGCTGCCCAGGCTTGGGCAAATTTCCCTAAATTTGAATCAAATCTGAAATTATTATTGTTAGTCGCACTAAAAAAGCTCATTTTCGTTTCATTATTCTAAATGTGTTTCAATGTGTTTAATTAAAGTTTATTTCTTTTTGAATTGCTGGTGGGGGTAGAGTACAGTTGGAGACAAAATACTTTGGTCGTCACTTTTCTGACACTTTAATGTAATTCAAGCTTTAACGTTAAAATGAATGACAATTTTAAATTAATGACAGCTATTATATTTTCCTATCAAAAATATGTACAGTTGCGGAATTAAAATTTCGGGCAGAACTGTCATTTTCATAATGTAAACTCTAAAACAAACTTTACATTAATAACCTCATTTTTTACTCTTGTTATGTTTATGTCATTTTAACTTAAAAAATAGCCTCACTGACAGACAGTGAACTTTTTGAAGTGACAGAAAAATACTGCAAACTGTACAACTTGACAACTATGATTGACAGTATCTAAAAATAAGGTTAACTGTCCTAAAGCGTGCTTTACAATTTAATGTCACTCAAGTGACATTGACGACCAAGGTATTTTGTCTCCAACTGTACATTTTTGACATACGTCACTAGCTCTGCGTTACTTTAATCGCATTTGTTAAAGTGAGATAAATAGCGTGACCGACCTTACGCGTAGCGAGAGAACAACAGGGCTGTTTACAAATGTTGAAAAGAGATAACTATCTAGTACGTCTTTCGAATTATTAATTGATCCACACGCTTATTTGTATTTGGTTTCACTGGACAAAAAAATGGGACATCAAATTTTTGACACTGAAAATTTTCTGTAAAGCATGCTTTAACGTCAAATTTGACATTTGAAAATGTCAAAATTTTAAGATCATTAAAGGCCGTTTTACACTTAAAATACAGTTTAGTTTTTTTTAATTTTTGTCGTCTCTTCCACGCTCGTATATTTATCGTTGTAAAAAAAATCTTGTACATATGCTTTCTTAAAAGTACAAATGCACAACGTTATTTTTTATTTCACACAAACTTCTTAATTTGATTCAAAAAGCAGTCTGTCAATTTTACGATAAACGTCAATCATATTTTACATTCCCATTTTACAAACTTATTTTTGTATCGAAATGTATCGAAAAAAAGTTTCGGACGAAGAGAAAACCTATCAAACGCAACAGCACCTTGAAAAAGAGTTAAATGCGTTGGCACGCCAGGTAACACAATGCCAAACTTTCCCAAAATCATTTTTTTTTTCACATTTTTAGTACCTAGTTCTGGATAGGGATTGTACTCACAGCCAATTTTCTCGCGGAAGTTCATTAATTAAAGGTGACAAAGTCATTAGAATTTTTCAAAAAGAGCATGTAAACATCCTGACTGATTTAATGAGGGCGGCAGCCCCAGGTCGCACACGAGAAGATGAAAAACTCTTTGATGAATTATCAAAACTCATGGACGAAAATCGTTTTTACACTATTCAAGTCAATGAACACAAAGTGTATTTGAGGGAAATTGAGGCAGAGATAAAAGTCTTTCAAAAATCGGTTCACCAACTTCGCGAACAGCAAACTAGTGATAAGCAGTGTGAGGAACGTGTTTGGCACGCTATAAAGACAGTTGAGGCTTTAGAAAACAAACTAGAAACTCAAATGAAACAATTTGGGAAACTTTGCAGCAAAAATAAAGAGTTGAGATATGAAATTGATCATTTGTTGTGGCAAAGACGTATTTTTATCAACCAATGGCAAAGCCTAATTGACAAATTATCAGATGGAAAAAAAATTATGCTAGATTTAATCGAACAAGCAACAATTGCATACAACCAGAGAGAAGAGTGGTGCAACAAATTGCAAATTTTGCGAACCAAAGCTCATCATGACTTGAGACATAACATCCAAGAAATGAGAGATATTAGAAGAAAATACGACCATAGCATGAAACTCTCCGAATTTTTCCAAATCAAAGGCCAACGTCGAGTCATGAAAGACTTGGAAGCGAGAGAGCGGGAAAAACGACATCGCCTCTACGAAATTCTTAACGAAAAAGTCACTAAATACCACTACATGTTGAACGACATTCAGGTATTTACATTCAAAGAAATAATTTTAACATTTGACGAGTTTTAGAATTTTTGTCGCGAAAAAAACCTGAAAAACATTGCAAGAAACTTTGCAAAACAAGAAGAATTCAATTTGTCCAAATTTAAATTCGTTATCGAAACGATACAGGAAATGGAGTCAGTGAATGATACTTTAGGTTTTTTGTATTTGGACATTGACGAGCGTTTTGCTCTTCACACAGAACGAGATAATCAACAAAAAATTAAATTACTCGAACTTGAAGCTAGCTTAGAAGAGACACGTAATGCGGCTTCAGAATCTCAAGAGAAACTCAATGAAACTGAAACATTGTTTCGGGGACTTCTACAAGGAATTTCAAGTCTGTTTCAGTTATGTAAATGTGTCAAGGATCCTCTTTTTCGACTCCTGGGGAACAATACTACAGTCCAGTTTTACAATGTTGGACTCTATGCCCAAATTTTGGAAACACGAGTTCAAGAAATGCTCATCACTGCTGGTTATAGGGACAAAAACCGAAAAACTGGTGATAAGAAAAGAATAATTGATGATAAAACTGTTAATAATAAAATCTACGATATTGACCAGATTGTCAAAACCACTCCGTGTTCTTTGTTAGTACAATTTGTAGAAGAATTGTTTTTTAAGTTTTTTTTAGGTGTGTGGAACATGAAATGGTGTCAGATGTCATGGATGTGCTACAACATGTGTTGTCACGTAATGAAGCTAAAGTGAAACTTAGTCAAAGAATGCAATTGCCTGGAGGTACTGTGAGGCTTCACAGGATTTCCCATTGTCAGTTACCGAAAGCCAGACAAATCATGCAAAAAAGATACGAATAGTGTTATTTTTATACATTTTGTTTATAAGTTTTTTTAATAAATAATAATGTCAAAACAATCAATAAGTCAAAAAACAGCCAATCAAACGGCTTGTTTCGCAGTCCACGTGATCACTGATTAGCTATCCTTGTCTCAAGAAAGCAATAAAAATGACCGAACTTAAAATCAATTCCTGCAATGACAGCCCCCTCTATTGCAAAAAGACAGTCTTTAAACCACATAACCAAACTTCTGTAACAACACCATGTTGTCGGTTTTTTACTTAGGTTATGTTTTCTAATCGTTTAGTTGCACAAACCCAATGCATGTTTTATGACTTTTGGTTAAAAAGAGCGCACATTTAGTCACGATGTTTCTGGATTTAGTGTTATTTTGACATGTAATTGACACAACAAGAACTTGGTTGTTCACAATGACAATACTGTCTTAGTAAAAGACCGAAACCAGCTTGCGTGTGGTGCTAAATTAAATAAAGAACAAACAACAAATCCTTTGCAAGAATTGAAAGGTTTGGAAGAAAAATTCCAAGTTGGCAGAAAGCTTGCCAAGAAATTCACAATTTGAAAACGGAGGATTATAACCAACTTCAAAATCAATTACGAGAACGCAGAGAAGAATTAGATCATCTTTGCATTCTTGACGAACCAACTGAACTCGTCTCATTTTAAAATGATTCGAAGTAAAGATTTTTGCACTTATGATTTATTTAGTTTTTTTGGTTAATCGTTTTACTTTTTGTGGTTTCATCTTTTGTTGTGTCTTGAACTTTTCAATGAGCTTCTCGAACTGTTGAAGGGTTTTACTGATGAAAATCAGTTGTTGTTCAACTTGATTTTTACGAAATTTGATAGAAACTCCTTTTTTTGCGCACATTAACAAATGTAAATTCTACAGCTTTTTTCGTTAAAGACATGTCTTTGACAATGTCACGTGCTCGATTTTTGATTGTAGAAATTAATAGTTCAAGTTGGCGTGACTTTCTGACCGCTTCTTCAAAATGCCCTCGAAGACCTGCTGCTTGGGTGTGGAGGCCGAGCAAAATGTTTTCAACAACTTCGCGAAATCGACTTTACAATAAAAGTCACAAAAATTTTACAACCTTCAACCTAATTTTGCGTTTTTTTTTGTATACGTATCTTGTAATTATTTTGGATGAATTTCTCACGTAATTCTGTCTCTAACTAAAAAATGTGGTAAAAGATTTGAAAAAGGGCAAAATAAAGGCAATCTTTGAACAGTGTCGTTGATTTTTCACCCCATTTAAGCAAAACCTTGAGAAGTAAATGCTAGAAAAAAAATCATGCAAAAAGGATACAAATAGTGCTATTTTTATACATTTTGTTTATAAGTTTTTTTCGTAGTCAGATGACGTTTTTTTAATAAATAATAATGTCAAAATAATCAACAAGTCAAAAAACAGCCAATGAAACGGCTTGTTTCGCAGTCACGTGATCACTGATTAGCTATCCTTGTCTCAAGAAAGCAATAAAAATGACCGAACTTAAAATCAATTCCTGCAATGACAGCCCCCTCTATTGCAAAAAGACAGTCTTTAAACCACATAACCAAACTTCTGTAACAACACCATGTTGTCGGTTTTTTGCTCAGGTCATGTTTTCTAATCGTTTAGTTAAACAATCCCAATGCATGTTTTATGACTTTTGGTTAAAAAGAGCGCACATTTAGTCACAATGTTTCTGGATTTAGTGTCATTTTGTCATGTAATTGACACTTGTGTTTTATTCCGTGTTTCGAGTTAGGGATTTTGCAGCCATGCCTCGCCAACCACAGACGCCTCTAACCGAGGAAGAAAAGTTTAAATTACAAGAGCAACAAGAACAAGAACTTGGTTGTTTACAACGCCAATACTGTCTTTTAGAAAAAGACCGAAACCAGTTTGCATGTGGTGCTAAATTAATGCGTTTTAATCGAGTTTTGTCCATTTACCAAAAAGAACACGCAAATATTGAAACCGACTTGGAAGTGGCAAGTGCACCTGCGAAGAAACACGAAGACCTTAAAGATTCCAATAATCTAGGACAATTAATCGAAGATCATGATTTTTATGCCGAAGAAGTGAAAAAACAACGAAAATATATACAAGAAATCGATGGTCAAATAAAAAATGTTGAAAAGCGAGTAACACAATTGCGATCAGAGCAAATCACAGATAGACAACATGAAGATCGAATTTGGGCCGCCATTACCACAATCGATCAATTGATGAACAAATTAGATGTCCAGAATAAAAAATTCGGGATGTTCTGTGCGAAAAATCGGGATATGAAACTGGAAATTGATAGAATGTTGTGGGAAAGGGATGTTTTCATGGGGATTTGGAACAAGATGATTGATAAATTAGTAATGGGGAAAAAATTTATGATGGATCTCATAGAACAAGCCACGATTGCGTATGATCAAAGAGAAGAATGGTGTTCAAAGTTGCAAGCTTTGAGACTTAAAGCACACCATGATTTTATTCTTCACGTCCAAGAAATGAGAGAATTGAGACGAAAACAAGACAATGACCAAAAACTAGAAGAGTTTTTCAATATTAAGGGACAAAAGCGAGTCATGAGGGATCTTATGAGGAAAGAGCAATTCAAGAGGATGGAAAACAAAATCAAGCTCAAAGACCGTATGACTGAATATAAAAAATACATGAACGACATTTTGGTACTTTTTCTCTTATACAGAGTGTCCCAACGAGTTGAAAAAGTCCATTAGTGACCTTTAAATGGTAAATTTAAAAAAATATATATGGGATATTGATAGATAGGTACTAATCTAGTCCATCGCCTAAAATTATTTTCAACTATACAGTGTGTCTCAAAAATAAGTACAATACAAACTTGTGTTTTTTTAAACGAAACACCATATGTTTCCTAGCGTTTTTGGATGTAGATTTTTATGACAATGTTGGTCCATGAAAATGAAATGAAAGAAGACGGATTAAAAAGCAAAAATCTCTAAGTACACGTCTTTATTTTAAATTGAAATAAGAGATCCTAATTAAACATAAAAAAATACAAATTAACTCACAAAAGTAACAAAAAATAAAATACATTTTTAATACTTTTTATTGTTACAAATTTAAACAGGAGATGAATATTCATTTTTAAAACAATAATTTTCTATGAACATATATCGAAAAATGCTACGCAAGGGGTGCGTCTTTTAATAGGTTTTTTTTCAATATTTCCGAAATCATTTTAGAAAAAAATTTCAAAATTTGGTACAGATGGTAACTTTTATACACCTAAACAAGTACAAAAATAAAATGTAAAAATTTTTAATTAGGGGCTTCCTAAACTAGATGGGATTAGGGTAAAAATTTATTCTATTTTGTCTGTGGTTTCTTGCCACTTTCAACAACAAAATTTCATAGTATTTCATAAAAAAGGTTTTTTGTGTTTTACCGATACAATTTACGGATTTTTAGTAAAAATCGGTTTAAAAATTTATGTTACAAACCATAAACAGCATAAAAATTAAAAATTAAATTTGTTTTACCGTTTAGGACGCCCCTGATTAAAAATTTTGTTATTTAGCATTTGTTTAAGTGTACATATAAGGGTACCAAATTTTGTAATTTTACCTATTCTGAAATATTAGGAAAAACCCTTTTTTAGGGGGTGTAGCTCCTTTTCATAGCATTTTTCAAAACACTTTTATCTTAAAATTAAATATTCTATTAACTATTTAAATTTGTACCTAACAATAAAAATGAAACACTGTATAATTAACACATGAAAAATTAATTCACAAAAATTTAAAATTAACTCATTAAAATAACAAAAAAACTAAATTTTTAACACTTATAACGCTATATAACAAAGTGCTCAGCATTTCGGGAGGAGTTTGAACCCCCTAATCCCCCCCCCTTGGGTACGGCACTGTTAAAAAGTTTATTACACAAAAACTATGGCACCTAGAAATATTTTTTTACTACCGCAAAAAAGAAGGTATAAGCTATATAAGGTTGTAATATTTTTTTAGTGTGTTGCATTTGCAAAAGTAAAAAAATGAAGGCGTTTGTTAAAAGTTCAATAACTTAAAAAATTTAAATAGAACACTCTATTTATTGTTTTTTCATTTAAAAAAAATATTAAATTATCTTTCTAAAATTATTTACTTTTAGGTGTTTATAATCAATAACTAAAAAGATATTTAACGTTAAACATTAAAAAAAAAAAACTATTGTTTCAGTAGCCAAAAAGGGCACACTTGCACAAGAGATAAAAGAAATATCATTTAATAATCACATACAGGCTGTCCCAACGGTCCGAAAAAGCTCTATAACTTGTTTATTTTAAGAGATATTGACTTTTAATATTTTTTTAGATTATAGCTAGCTGTTTGATGTACATTTTAAAAATATTGCGGTTTATATACAGGCTGTTCCAATATTAAAAAAACACTAAAATTATGTTTTTTTAAATGGAATCTACTCAGTTTGATTTTATTTTTGGATTCTACGCTAAATTACAAATAACTTTTATAGAGGTTTCCTGAATGTTTGCCGCATCTTTTAAGTGTTTATTTAACAACCTGCTCAGTGGCATGCGCCTACTACGATTTTTTAAACATGACAAATTAAAAATGTCAAAAACTCATTTTTTTCAAATGGCACCCTCTATTTATTATTGTACGAATCAAAAGATCTTTTGAGAAGCTTTCCATCAATATAAGGTTTATATAGTCTAGTGTAAAATTCTAAGCTATAATCTAAAAAAAAGAAAAAGTCAATATCGCTTAAAATAAACAAGTTATAGAGCTTTTTCGGACCGTTGGGACAGCCTGTATGTGTTAAACTGAATCCATTATTCTTTATTTTTACAATAAAATAATTTGAATTTCAGTATTTATAACGTCTTTTACAATCTCTGGATAAATCAACTGATAAGTGATCCATGATGGAATTACTAAAATCGACTAATAAAAGTTTAGCGTAAAAACATTGTTTTAAAATGCTACATCCAAAAATGCCAAGCAACATACGTTGTTTCATTTAAAAAAACACAAGTTTGTATGGTAACTTTGAAAGATGATGTATGGTTGAAAATAATTTTAGTATCTATCAATGTCCTATACAATTATTTTTTTAAATTTTACTATTAAAGGTTACTTATGGACTTTTTCAGCTCGCTGGGACACCCTGTATATTTTTTTAATTACTTATTATTAAATCTAGGAGTTTGCTAAGGAACGTCAGATTCAAGAAATTGCCCGAAAATATTACATTCAAGAAGCCGAAAACTTCAGTTTGTTTAAACGGCTTAATAATCTCATTCAAGAATTGGAGTTTCTCAGTGATGAACTTGACACAGCTCAAACAAGCATTGACGACGAAAAGGAATTGCATAATGCCCGAGCTAGACAACAAAAAAATACAATACAAAGTTTACAAGAAGATTTACAAACAATCACACAAGAAGTAGAAGAAGATGAGCAAAAACTGAAAGAAACTGAACGATACATCAGTCAAATGTTATCAGGAATTGACACACTTTTTAAACTATGTCGGTGTAACAATGACCCTGTTTTACAACTTCTTGGTGACAATGCAACTATCAATGTTTATAACGCATTGTTCTACCTTGAACAAGTGGAAAAAACGGTTCACGAAGCAATGATTCGGGTTTATTCTCACGAAACTCGAAAAAAAGTTTCAGGAACACAAAGAACCGTCAAGGATAATAGAACCAAAGGAGAGCTACGAAACATTGAGCAATTTGGAGTGTCAAATCCTTGTCCTTTGTAAGCAACTTTTTTGTCCCATGTTTTAGTTTAATTTTTGATTGGTAGATGTTTTGAATATGAAATGGTGAGTGATGTAATCGATTCGTTACAACACGTGTTGAGCAGAGACGAGGCGAAGGAAGTACTAGCCGAGCGTTTGAAATCGCCTGAAATTGCTGAAAAATTACACAACGTTTCAGCTTGCTACTTGCCAAAATCGCGCGAAATCATCCAGAAACGCTACCAGTGAAATGCGAGGTCACGGCTTAGTTAATAAATTTTAATCAAAGTTGTTGTTTTTTTGTGTCAAAATTTTGACTTAAAAATGGATCAACTCAAAGGTAAAGTTGTAAATGTGGTCCTCACAATTCAGGAGGGGAAAGGGATGGAGTCTATCAAAAATTCAACGTTGATTTCTGCCAACTTTAATGGGAGAATACTGGAATCGGATCCGGTCAATGCTGAGGATTGTCCTGCTTTCAACACGAATCTGATTTGGGAAATTGAGAAGAAAGACTTGAGGAAAATCCGGAGCTCGAATCAGCCTCTAAGAGTCGAATGTTTGAGTGTTGATAATCAAAGTAGGAGAGAGAAATTCGGACATGTTTTGCTTGATTTACGGAGTGCTCAAATTGTGGAAGAACCTGAAAAGCAAGTGTCTTTCAAGTGGCAAAAATTGATTGGGGTTCGCAATAAGAAACGAAATTGTGTTCCTGAATTATACTTGTCACTTACTATAAGAAATCATCTGGAAGTGCAACCACCACAGGAGTCCTCGGACGATGTTTGGGAACCAGAACCCAGACCTGAGGGTTCAATCCCTATTAAATATCTGGAAGATGGGTACATCATGGTCGGGGACTCGGAGAAATGTACCGAAGACTACTCACTCAACATCAACATTAAGTCAGCTTCAAGTCTAGATTTGCTCCTACCGGAAGTTTTAGTTTTTCACCAAAATAATAACAAATATTGCATGTGTATCAAAATTTTTGGGATTCCGATCAAAACCAAACAATTTTCCAAAGATTTACACGACAAAATCATCTTTGAAGAGAAAATCGTTGTCAGATTGCTTTCAAATATCACAATATTGGAACAATTCTTCAATGAAGAAAAGTTTGAAGTGGGTTTCAATTGCGGTAATGATCTTCTTGGTCTCACAACTGTTAGTTTCAATGATTTGACTAATTTAAATGAGAAGTTGCTTTTGCCTACGTGTTTTTTCCGATTTCCGTCACCTAATGGTATAGTTCCGGTTGGTGATAACACTCGGAAACCTTCAGTGTCTCTTGAAATTTATCTAATCAGAAATAGAGAAGAACTCCCTGCTTTAGTTTCAAATTTGGAACAAGATGTATCAAAAGCGTGTGGGGATTACACGGAACAAGCAAAAGAAGAAATCAATCAACAGTTATTGCTCATTACTGAAGAACACATGAAGGAATTAGAAGAATGGAAAGAAAGACAAAAGGCTGAGTTTGAAGCACAACTACAAAGTGAGCTAGAGAAAGGACGTGAGGAAATGGAAAGAAAGAAAGTTGAACTAAACGAGAACATAATAAAATGTAAGGAACTGCAAGAGGAACTGCAAGAAAAACTCGACGAATTAAAACTATCAAAAACATTGAAGAAAAAACGTAAATCGTCAACAAGTCTAGTTTCTGTTATCGCAGAAAATCAAAAAAAATTTGCAGAGTGTGATAAAGAATTGTTAATCGATTACATAAGTACGTTACAAAGTGATAACGAGAATTTGAAACAGATAATTAACGAACAGAAACAAGAGTTGGAAAATATCGAGAAGACAGCTTTAACTAAAGAACAAACCACAAATCTTTTGCAAGAATTGAAAGGTTTGGAAGAAAAATTCCAAGTGGCTCAACAAACCAAAACATATTTTAAAGAACAGTGGCAGAAAGCTTGCCAAGAAATTCACAATTTGAAAACAGAGGATTATAAGCAACTTCAAAATCAATTACGAGAACGCAGAGAAGAATTAGATCATCTTTGTATTCTCGATGAACCAACTGAACTCGTCTCATTTTAAAATGATTCAAAGTAAAGATTTTTGCACTGATGATTTATTTAGTTTTTTTGGTTAATCGTTTTACTTTTTGTGGTTTTATCTTTTGTTGTGTCTTGAACTTTTCAATGAGCTTCTCGAACTGTTGAAGGGTTTTACTGATGAAAATCATTTGTTGTTCAACTTGATTTTTACGAAATTTGATAGAAACTCCTTTTTTTGTACACATTAGCAAATATAAATTCCAAACAGCTTTTTTCGTAAAAGACATGTCTTTGTAAATGTCACGTGCTCGGTTTTTGATTGTGGAAATTAATAGTTCAAGTTGGCGTGACTTTCTCGCCGCTTCTTCAAAACGCCCTTGAAGACCTGCTGCTTGGGTGTGGAGGCCGAGCAAAATGTTTTCATTCACTTCGCGAAATCGACTCTACAATAAAAGTCACAAAAATTTTATAAACTTCAACCACATTTTGCGTTTAGACGAATTTCTCAAATAATTCTGTCACTAACTGAAAAATGTGCTAGAGGTTTAAAAAAGGGCAAAAATAATGCAATTTTTGATCAGGGTCGTTGATTTTTCGCCCCATTTAGGCAAAACCATGAGAAAAATTGAAATTGTAACTCAAAAACGTACGTAAACCCTAGAAAAAAAAACACAAATAACAGTATCCACACCTAATTTAGTGTTTTTGGCTTATTTTAAACAAATTTTGCAAAGTAAATATGTTTTTGATTTAAAATTTTTTAAGTTGGTGATTTTTCGCACCGTTTAAACAGGACCTTGAGAAAATTTGAAATTTTAACTCAAAAATACGTGTCTATGAATGCTAGAATATAAGCATAAAGAACTATTTTCGACCTAATTTAGTGTTTATGGCTTACTCTTAACAAAATTTTGCAAAATAATACTTTTCTGATTGAAAATTGGACTAAAACAGTCGCAAAAAATCCAAAATTGTTAATTTTTGCGAACCAATTTGGCGAAATTTGAAGAAAAAAAACAAAAGCAGCAAATTTTTAACTTAAATTGACGATATTTTGGCTTACTTAGATTAAGTGGGCGACACTAAAGAATAATAAATTTAGGGAATTTTGCGTCGGTTGGTGACACGTAACAGTGTTGGAATTGACATTTGTCATGGTGGGTTATATGGATTTTTTATGTTCGCCACCGAAAATTCGGAAAAATTATAACTTTTTGTAAGCAACGGCAATGTCACCAACATTGAAAAGAAAAAATACACTAGGCTATTAACGCACCCAAACGAGTTTATTAATAGCCTTGTTAAGGACGCAAAATGGAAAAAATGTTTTCTTACTAGTTCAAGTTTAGAAGTTTGTAATTTTATGAAAAGTTCTTGTTGTCTCTCTGCCAGATTTTTGTTAATTTCTGTGAAATATTCAAACCGTTCTATAATACTATGTGCACTTCTAAAGCCGTCGTTTTTGTCGCACATGTCTAAGAAACTGTTCAAGTATTTCTGAAAAGTGAATTTTATACAAAGTTTGATTGAAAGTTACTTTACTTCGAAAATTATATGTGAGGCAATTTCGCGTTCCAACTCTCGTTTTGAAGCTTTCATAAACTCGATTTTTGAATGTAATTCAGATACGTCATTCTCTCTTTTTACTATGGTTTGTCTAAGATCAGCAATGGTTTCAGTGGTTCGTTTTCTCTTCTCGGCATTTATTATAAGAAAGTTATTGAAAGCGGTAAAATTCGATCGTAATATTTTCCCTTCGGATGCTATTTCGTCCCATTTTGCGTCTAATTCAACTCTGAATTCGAGGTATTTTTGTCTCTTATTTTTCAAGTATTGTTCGCGTTGCAACAATTTACTGCGAAAACGGCGAAGGGTAATCTCAGGACCTATCAGAAGGGGCCAATATCTAAAAAATCGGGTTATTTTACTCAAAACAGGCGGGAAAAATGAACTTTTCGAGTTGATGTTGCTGTTTAGATATTGTGTAATCTTCGATGCATTTCTCCGGACGAATTTGAGAAGGCCACATTTCGATTAACCAAAAATATTGCAAAAAAGGGCGCAAAACTACAACTACACTACGCGAACATTAATACTAAGAACGAAGTGTCACTAGTGTGACATTTTTACATCCAAAGTCAAGCAAGATGCTCAAATTCAAATTTTGAAAATCAAGAAAAATTCGAGTTTTCGACTTTTATTTTTTTTTATTCTTAAACAAGCTAATGTTCATCCGGCTAACAGAATTTCTTCTGTTTGATACGTCGAGCTTGAGGCAAAAAGCACTTTGAAACTGTGTGTAACTTTGCTGAAGCACCTGGCAATTCCAGTCGTTGCTGAAGCATTTCTTTTGCTTCTTTTCTACTCCACGGACGCTGAACCGCATCAATAACATCCGAAACCATTTCATATTCAACACACCTGAAAGCAAACACTGAAAATTTCCACTGAAACAATCTACTTTCAGTACAAGGAGCAAGGATCGGCTTGCACAATCCGTTCAATTGGATAAATAAAAGCAGTGGTGTTGAGAGTGGCCAAAATTTTTGTCCTCCCAGATGACCTTTTCTCCGCCTACAAAAAATAAATCAAATTTGACACAAAAAATCCTAACACAAACTTGAATTTTATCTTTGTAACCAGCTGAAATAAGAAACATTTGTATTGTCTGTTCCAAAACTTGAAGAAACAGCAAAACGTTGTAATCATGAATGGTGGAATTGTCACCTAAGAGTTTCAAAAGCGGGTCTTTCTCACATTTACACATTTTGAACAGATCTGCCACTCCTCGCATCACCGATTTTAAATGAGAGTTTAACTCATTTAAGTCTTGTTCTGCTTCTTTTGTAACTTCACTTGCTTTAACCAAATTTGTTTCTAAATTATCAAGAGTTTCTTGTTGCGTTTCAGCTCGAAGATCGTGCATTGTTTTCAGTTCATCGATGTCTAAATGCAAGATTCCGAGCTGGTCATTGATCATTTCCATGTTGTTAATTGTATCTGCGATGAACCTGAAAGTGCTGAAATTCTGCGCTTCACTGTTGTAGTATTTCCGGGCAATGTCTTTGATTTCAGCATGTTTGGAAAAATCCAATATTTCGTTCATTAAATCCTCATAATGTTGCAATTTTTTCCCAAGCTTCTTCTTGCGTTCATCCCGTTTTTGGCGCTCTTTCACCATCAAATCCTTCATGACGCGTTTTTGGCCTTTAGTCGTGAAAAACTCCTCTAGTTTTTTGGCATTATCAACTTTTTGCTTGTAACTTCTCATCTGGTCAATGTTTGATAAGAGATCTTTATGGGCAGTACTTCGCAACATTTGAAGTTTGTTACACCACTCTTCTCTTTGGTCATAGGCAATGGTCGCTTGCTCGATCATGTCAATCAAAATTCTTTTCCCGGTGTTCAACTTCTCGATAAATCGGTTCCAGATGGTGAGAAAATTTCGACGGTCCCACAAGAGATGGTCAATTTCTTCTCTCAATTTCCCGTTTTTGGCAACGATGAGGTTGAATGTGGTCATTTGGGTTTCAAGTTTGTTTTCTAACGTTTCTAGCGTTTGTCTAGCGTTGTGGACTCGGTCTTCGAATTGTCGATCAGTGATTTGTTGCTTCCTCAAAGATTGGACCGCTTTTGATACGTTTCGTATCTGGTCTTCGAGCTCTTTCATTTGGGTTTTTTTCAGGATTTCATTGTCGTGGTAGGAGTTGTAGTCGTGCAAGCGTTGCGATAATTCCTCATACATGATCTTGTCTTTGCGTTCGTAGCCAGGAGCTGCAGCCACTTCCAAATTTGTGACAATGTTTTCATACTCATTTTTGAATATGTTTACGACTTTTGAGTATTTTTTTAGTTTTCGCAAACTGTTGAATTGGGAGCTATCACGTTCCAAAGTGGCAAACTAGAATTTTTTATTATTTTGATAAATTCAAGAGACATGAGACAACCTCGCGACGAAGCGAAATCAGTTCGCGTTCCAATTGTTTTTGCTGTTGCTGATACTTGTCTTCATCTGAAAGTTTTCGCATTTTGTAGCCGGAGGACATTTTGGTGCAAAAAAATACAAAAAATGGAAAAAACCCGATTAACAAAAATGACAAAAATGACAATCATTATCTTTGTCCAGAAACTACAAGATTTTGTATTCTGATACAATTTACTTTTTTCGTTTTTAATAGATATTTTTTTCAAGTGCTAATAAAGGGCACTCTGTTCAAATATTTTTTTGTAATTACTATTCACTTTTTAAGCATTAATTGAAAATCTATGTCAAAAAATTTTTTTTTTGATTTATTATCAAACTTTTGGTTAGTTTTGATTTGCTTCTAATATTTTTTATTTGTATTTTCGTTATATTTTTTTTTTTTGAAATGTTTATCGTATCAACAAGAAATTACTTCCTAGGATTTAGGGATATTCGTGAATAGGTTGCCATAAATTTGGTTAGGTTGGTTTGTGGTGACAAACAAAAGAAGATATCACAACTAGTGTCAAAAATTTAGGTCACTCAATTGATAGTTGACAGGAAACGTCAACCGTCAACAACAGAGGGTAACCAACCCTAGGCATTCAAAATTACTTCTGAAAATTCTAGTTACAAACAACATGAAAAAAATTCAAATCCTAGGTGGTAATTTAAAAAATTGTGATGTTTAAATTTAATAATCAAGATTGCTAACGTATGCTTTCAACATTGTCGCAAACTTGACGATAAAATTCACAGCTATCTTTTACATAGTTAAATTTCCAATCAGAGAAGCCTATGATTTTGAAATTAAGTTGGCAACACTGAAAATGAGAGACAGAAGATTGCAAGTTTCAGATACTGCATTGCCAACTCAATTTTTGAACCACAGACTACTTTGATGAGAAAATAAGTAAAACATGAGGCAAAATACCAACATTTAGTCATAAAATGTTACCAACTGTGTTTTCAAACATCCAGATTGTTGCTAGCAACTTATAAACGAATCAATAATCACATAGTAACCTTATTTATCCGTCATTTCAGTCAATTTGTTAGCTTTTAATTCGCGTCCGCGTGTTATTTTTTTTTCCGATGGCGAAAACTGAAATTAAAAAAACGTTAAACTTGACTTTTCCGCGTCTTGAACCGTACCGCACCGTAGGAGATTTTTTAAAATCAAAAGACGAATTGCATTCAGTTCAATTGTAAAACACACAAGGTGAAATTTTACCAAATCTCAAATTATTGAAAATTTAAGGCCGGCATTTCAATGGGATAAACCGCGACAAGATCCCGATTTATACTTAACGGAAGCTCGTCGAACATATGCGTCAATTGTGGAAGCTTTAGAACGAAGAAGAGAATTTTACAAAGAAGAAAGAAAATCACTCGATCAACAATGGGATAATTTGCTACAACTAGAGAAAGACTTGCGAGAAAATTTTGTTAAATTAAGTTCAGTAAGTTTAGAAAAAAGTGTTTTTTGATGTTGGTAACATTTAATTGATAGTTTATCAAAAGTAATGAAGATAAGCGTGCACGGGCTATTGAAAGATGTAAAGAGGACCATAAATTGTGCGAAGAACGAGATAACGATATCAAAAAAATCAAAGAAAATATAGTTCTTTTGCAACAGATCAAGGAAGAAATGGACAAAGAGATTCGCCTCCATATTTTATACGAGGTTCAACAAAACACAATTTATTTAATCTAAATCACTGTTTTAGAAATATCTAAATTTCGTTGTTGGAGATTCAATGGATTTTCGAAATGCCATCGACGTAATTGATCGATTTGAATCGCTAATCACTACGAAACAAGAATTGGGACTTCGTCAACAGAGTTATTTCGACCATCTTGAAAACGCTAAAAACCAAACTGTACAAAACTCACTCATTTGATTATTTTTCCAAGTTTTGCAATTTCAGTCAAGAATGGCAGACGAAAACACTTTTCGAATTTTGGGATTAAACACTATCGTGGCTGGTTTACGTTCGCGTTACAAAAACGCTTCTAGTAATAGTATGAAATGGGAAAGAATTGTTTGGAGTATTAAGAAAAATGCGCTTCAAAAATACAAGGAAATCACCGAAGTGAAGTTGGCTTGCAGAAATGCGTATTTATTGATGTGTAGACGAAAAAGCGAAACACCGAAAATTTCAGAAAGCGATTTTGAAAGCCAACTGAATTACATTAAAAAGACTCTTCAAGAACTGAAAACTGTTCAAGGAGAAGCTACAGCAATCAACAAAAAAACTTTCAGCTCGATGAAAGGGGAAGTTTCCAAAGGGTCGCGAAAAAAATGATTTAATTGTAATTGTAATTATTTAAATAATATTGGATATGCATACAGTAGTGGTTTCGATCGTTATTAATAGAAATTTAGGTCTCATTTGTTTACATGCAATTGTTTGTTTCTCAACTCTTGCTTAAAAAAAGTATAAACAGTGGTCAATTTGTAATTTGTGTCCTAGAATTGGGATTTATTTTTGTCAGGTTGGTATTTAATGACATTTAACACGTGACAAAAAATATCGATTAGATAATTTTTGTTTCAAAACAACTTGGAAAACTGCAAGTTATATCACATACTGAAAATCATTGTTTTCAAAGGTGAGAAGCTTTCTGTAATCAGTGTTTTATACTATTTTTTTTTTCTATTTTCTAAAAACAGAAAACTTTTAAATCTAGGAAATTTTGCGTCGCAGTGTTATTTATTTATGAAGACGTAAAATTCGACTCGAATTTTTAATAATACATCAATAGTATATTAAAATGCGAATTAGAAAGCCTCCATTCAAACAAGAAATTTAAATTCCGACACGAGCCTCTGCTTAAATGGCCTCCTGTATCCAGTGTTTTATATTATTCTTTACTGGTTTGCAGTTTCTAAGGTTGGAAAATTCAACTCAAACCGACATATCGTCAATTTGTCACCAACACTAAAACATAAAATGCACTGTCAGATGCTGTATTTTTGCGCCCTGATTCTATGATAAACAAACAGTGTAATACAAAATTGTAAAATTGACCGAAAATATGCAACCCTTATTGCTAGGGTGGTTTAGGTATATTGACCCATCTGTCAAACTAAGTAAAAATATCAATTTTGTTATTTTTGACACTGATATAGCTTAGGATAAGACACCCTATAGTGAACAATTTTGAAAGTTAATAAATAATTTTACCTGATTTCCCCTTCCATCAGATTACTGGACAAGATGGCGGTCATTGCCAACATTTTACCGCTGACAAGTAACTAGACGATAATGCACTAGTATTTACGTTTTTTAGGTATTAAATTCGCAATGTTGGCAACGGTCAACAGCGACACCTTCCCCTAAAAGTGACAAATTTTACAGTTTATGCAGTTTATCTCTGTTGTTTGATGGTTTATCACACGATGGGTTTCAGGTAGAATTGTTGTGTTGATTTCCTGTTACTACCTACGAATGGACCCGCTGCTTGCTGAATATCCGAATCTTGTAAATTGTAAGTAACTAATTTTAACCTTTAAATCTCTATGTCTTGAATGGAATATTTCTAAAATTAATTTCATGATTAAACTTTTTTATGTGTTTCAGAAACAGTGTTGTGATTTACTGTCAAGTTGGCAACTACAAATTTTGTGATTAAAATTACCAACTTTGATTAGCATTGATGAAAAACAGAATATAATGTTTATTAAATAGTAAATAATTTCTGAAAAACCAAGTACACTGTGTTTAAGGTTTAGAGAAAGATGGGAAAGTGGGTCCATGTAATTGTCACTCTGTGCCAACTGTTAATTATAAAAATTACTATTTTTTGTTTTTATTATGTAGATTTTTTATATCTTGTTTACATCGCTGATACGTAATTAATGTATTTCTAATTTTTAATTACTGTCTAAAAACAGTCTTAGTGATAGTTTAGGACACAAATTCTGTTTTCTGATGCATCCTGTAGATCTGAAATGTTTCATCGATTGTAATTTATTTATTTTTAGGTGAATACCCGTTCTTCGTGAAATGTGCGAGGCCGGAGAATAAAACCGATGCATATTTGGCATTTTTGCGAACCTGTCATTCCTCGTCATTAATTCTCAGTGTGGAAAATTATACTTCTGTTACAAATAAGCCATATTGTCGGTGGCGCGTTTGTTATACACTTACGAGTAATGCAGGACTTCCGCGAGGAAAATCAAGGAAAGAACATTTTAAAAAATTATGTGGTGCCAAACCAATTAATACAATAATTTTGAATAAATATAACAGTGATCAAAATGTTACGGTTGTTGAATATGGGGTTGAAGCTGGATGCAATTGTCCGAAACAGAACTTTTGTTGGACGATGGAAACCCCCACGAAGCCCGAGGACCTCGCCCAATTACTGAGCAATGTGAAACTCGAAGAAAATCCACAGAATTGAAAATGTGTTCATAGCAATTTGTTTTTTTTTTTAATAAATCTAATTCTCTATATAAAATTATATATCTATATTATTCTTCATTCTTAATTCACGTCAAAAAATGAGCTAAACTGAATTTATTCAACATTCTTTAAAAATATTTAGAAATTTCAAATTGTCCGCCTTTGCATGTGGCGCCACCACCATTTCCCAACGAGCATTCTTCGCAATTTTTCATTTTCAAAGTGAGCACACGTTTCGTGTCGTCAAGACTTAAAAAGTAAGTACAAATTGTGTTTTTTGACAAAATATCAAGTAAATAATAATTCAAAAACGTAATTTTTCAATTTTCAATAAAAAAACATTGGAAAAAGCCCGTGATTTGTAAAATATTCGTCGATTAAAGTTTTGAGGTTATGTCATTCCCAAACAATTTCAGATGCGTTACGTGGCTGCTTACCTTTTGGCCGTCCTTGGCGGAAAAGCGTCCCCAGCTTCAGGAGACATAGAAAAGATCCTCAGTTCGGTTGGTATCGAAGTTGATGGTGAAAAACTCAAGAAAGTCCTAGGGGAACTCAATGGCAAGTCCATTGATGACCTTATCACTCAAGGTAAGTTTCCCGGTTATAACACATTTAAATCAAGTATAATGATGATTTTTAACAACCATCTTTCGCATGAAACCGTGTGATTCAACCATCAGGATCTGATAATTTACCAATTTGTTAAATTTGCAAGTCTCTGACATGTTTTCATGTTTTTTTTATTCCCAGGTCGTGAAAAACTCAGTTCGATGCCTGTAGGAGGCGCCGCCGCTGCACCTGCTGCAGCTGCAGCTGCTCCAGCCGCTGCAGAAGAAAAGAAAGGTTTGTAACATTTAAAAAAATCGAAATTTTGGTATTAAACAAAGTGATGATTACACACAATACACCATCTTTCGTCTGAGAAAGTCGTGCTGTTAATTTATTATCTGATGTGCTAAACAAATCACAAATTGATTTTGTCAAGAATCATTTTTAATAAACGTGTTTTTGCAGAGTCCAAAAAAGAAGAGAAGAAGCAAGAGTCAGACTCAGAGGATGATGACATGGGCTTTGGTCTTTTCGACTGAGGGGATGATTATAATTATAAGATCAAACTTTGTTTTATAATAAAGACCTTTTAACAAAACGTTTTTTTAAATTTCTGACACGAAAGTTGGAGTGGCTTCAATTGTATCTAGTCATTTGATACGAAAACGTATGTCTAAAACCTCAAATAAAATGACAAGTTGAAAGGTAAAATGGCATGATCAAAAAATGATTTTAATAAAATTAAATTTATTTGACTTTTCATGTACAGTTGCGGAATTAAAATTTCGGGCAGTATTGTCATTTTCATAATGTAAACTCTAATACAACCTTTACATTAATAAACTCATTTTTTATTCTTGTCATGTTTGTCATTTTGACTTATTTACGTTCAAAAATAGTGATTTGTGGCATAATAACGGGTAGGCATCAGATCAAGGCGATGATTTAATTACACTTAGTTTAATTAATAAATAAGACAAACAAATTGTTTAATTAACAATTTTAAGAAGAAAAAAAAAGTTTAATTGTCAAATGTCAGTCATGATGACAATAAAGGGTAGTGACAGAAAAATACTGTCCGAAATTTTAATTCCGCAACTGTACAATTAGTTCAAAAATGACACGTTTTCAGATTCAAAGATGAGTCGATTACAAATTATCTTGATTTTTCCTTGCGAATCAAAGAAATTTATTGCTTGAAGTCTAGTTTTTGAGGGTGTATAAATCGTAAAAATGTTTGATCAATTTTAAGTCACAAAAATGCGTAAAATATGGCCTAGGAATAAAATTACGCGCTAAACACGATGCAACAAAAATGCTCTATGATAGTGAGTAATAAAGTTAAGAATAGGGTTTACGTGATTCTGACTAAATAATTGATTTTTTTTATAAATTGGGGTAATTATAAGTAATGGGATTTCTAGGTAATGAGAGTTCCAACGTCTACAAGCAACTCGGCGCCATCTTGGGTGTCGCAGTTTGACTATCTGTCAGTGTCAGTGTAGCTTTGTAATTAGTCATTCTGCGAAAAATCCAGAGAAAATTCAGAAAAAGACTGAAAAGTGTTTTAAGTTTAGTTTCGTGCTTGCTGTTGTAAAAGTTTCGGCAGCATGACGCAACAATTACTACCGATAAAGTTCCAGGAGCATTTGCAGGTAAAATACACCGCTGGAAAAATACGCCCCTCGATCATTCCAACTGGAAAACGTCGCCAACATGACCCGGTTTCATGCACACCATCATGTTTCACTCGCATCGATTTTTTCGAAATTTTTTTCTCTCAAAATGGAGGCGTTTTTCCCCGATTATTTTTAGACGTGTGTTATTGTGCCGAATTGATACGAAAACTGCGCATTTTCCAAAATCGATCTCTAATTCCCAATTAATTACAGCTCACCAATGTCGGTATTAATGTGGCGAACATCTCCTTCGCCACACTCACCATGGAAAGCGACAAGTTCATCTGTGTTCGCGAAAAGGTCGGAGACACTTCTCAAGTGGTCATCATTGATATGGGCGACACTGCTAACCCCATCAGACGCCCCATCACCGCCGAGAGCGCCATCATGAACCCCGCTTCCAAAGTCATTGCACTCAAAGGCAAAGCGGGAGTGGAAGCCCAAAAAACCTTGCAGATTTTCAACATTGAAATGAAGTCCAAAATGAAAGCACACACCATGTCGGAAGACGTCATCTTTTGGAAGTGGATCTCATTAAACACCTTGGCTTTGGTCACGGAAACCTCGGTGTATCATTGGTCCATGGAGGGCGACTCCACACCAGTGAAGATGTTTGATCGGTAGGCAATTGTTTGGGAATTTGTGATTGGATAACTTTTTGTTTTTTTTTTTTACAGTCACTCGTCCCTGAACGGCTGTCAAATCATCAACTATCGCACCGACCCCAAACAAAACTGGCTGCTATTGGTGGGAATCAGCGCCCAACAGTCACGTGTTGTGGGGGCTATGCAACTCTATTCAGTCGAGCGTAAATGTTCACAACCAATCGAAGGTCATGCAGCATCATTTGCAACATTTAAACTGGAGGGTAATCCAGAACCATCGACACTTTTCTGTTTCGCTGTAAGAACAGTCCAAGGTGGCAAACTTCACATCATTGAGGTAAAAATTAAACAAACAAACTTGTTTTTGTATCTTCATTTTGTAATAACAGGTGGGGCAAAGTCCAGCCGGTAACCAACCATTCCCCAAGAAAACCGTCGATGTGTTTTTCCCACCTGAGGCCCAAAACGACTTCCCAGTCGCCATGCAAGTGTCAGCAAAATACGATGTCATTTACTTAATTACCAAATACGGCTATATTCATATGTATGACATTGAAAGCGCCATCTGTATCTACATGAATCGTATCTCAAGTGAGACAATTTTCGTAACAGCTCCTCATGAAGCTACTGGTGGTATTATTGGGGTTAATCGTCGTGGTCAAGTGTTGTCTGTTTCTGTCGATGAAGACAGTATTATTCGATATGTGAATCAAGTATTGCATAATCCTGATTTGGCGTTGCGTATTGCAACGAGAAATAATCTCGCAGGAGCTGAGGAATTGTTTGTAAACAAGTTTCAATTGTTGTTCACTAATGGACAGTATGCTGAAGCGGCTAAAGTAGCTGCCAATGCTCCGAAAGGTATACTAAGAACACCAGCTACGATTCAAATGTTTCAACAAGTGCCCACACAACCGGGACAGAATAGTCCCTTGTTGCAGTATTTCGGGATTTTGCTGGATCAGGGGCAGCTCAACAGGTAAATAAATATTTGCAAAATTGTAGAATTAATAATACTACAGGAAATTAAGAATTTTCAATGAAGAATTGAACTGATGTCGGTAACGTAGATGTCTTTACATCCAAAAATTATCAATTGTCAATAATATCGACGCTTTTCTGTATGTTATTTTGTTATCAATAAAAGAATTTATATCATAATAAAAGTTAGATAAAAAAAATTTAAATTTGACAATTGTTAAGAGTTTTCCTAATATTTTTTTTTCTTAATATTCCGAAAAATTAAACAAATAAAATAAATAGTCCTATAAAGGGGATATATAGGATGATAAATTCTCATGATAAAAACTAAGATCTATTAATTCCTCTAAATTCACTTGAATTTTACAGGGTTTTTAAAACTTTGAAAACGCTAATTTTTTTGGTGTTATTTTTCAATGTAGAATATGTGATTACAATTTTGAGCAATATTAAGAAAACATCTCTGTATATCTATTCTTAACTTGATTATTTTTCTTCAATTATTTTTTCTTTTAATGGGTTTTAATCTATTCTTCTGTCTACTCCTATTTCTCTTTCTATTTTTTCTTTTTTGAAATTCTCTATTCTCATTTCAGTTCTCTTAATTTTTTCTTCAGATCTTGTATCTTTTTGTTTCTTCTTCAATTTTTGTCTATAGGTAAATATTCTCTATTTCTTTGCTCAAATTATTAATCTGTTTTTACTTTTTTATTAAAAAAAATCCAATAATAAAATCCAATAATTTTATGATGACATGTGAACAATTGGTCTCTGTTTCTTTGATTTCTCTTTCTTATTCTTCTCTGCTTTCTTTAATTTAATTTTTACTAATAATTTTGTCCTTTATTTTTAATATTATTATTATTGTTAATAGATTTTTTTATTCTCCTTTGTTAAATTTTTTCTTTAAAACCTTTTCTTATTTTTCGTGCAACTGTTCTGTTTCTCTTTTCTGTTTTTTTCTTCTACTTCTACTGTTTAAATAAATTACAAACTAAAACAATAATATATTAATACCACACAATAATTTATTAATTACATGAAGAGTTATTGGTTTATGTTTCATTTTAATTTTGTTCTGCTCGAAATTCATATTTTTTTATTCAGAAGAAATGTTTTTTTTACAGTTTTTGGTTCTCTTACTTTTATTTATACGTTTTTTGTTATACTATCCTTTTCTATGTTTTTCTTTCTCTGAATGCTTTTCCTTAATTTTTGTACGTTTCTTTCTTATTTCTTTCCTTTCTGCTTTAAATTGTTAGCTTTTTCTTCTTACATTTTTCAAATCTTCTGTTTCTATTTTTTACTTAACTTTAATCTTTTGTTTTTCTTTTTTTTATCTTCTTTATTCTCCCTTGTTTACACAAACAATAATGTATTAATACAATACAATGCTTGTTTGTTTCATTTTAATTTTGTTCTGCTCAAATTTCATAATTTTTATATTCAGAAGAAATAGTTTTTTTTACGGTTTTTGGTTCTCTTACTTTTATTTATAAGTTTTTTTGTTATTCTATCCTTTTCTATGGTTTTTCTTTCTCTGAATGCTTTTCTTTAACTTTTACACGTTTTTTTTCTTATTTCTTTCCTTTCTGCTTTAAATTCTTAGCTTTTTCTTCTTCCATTTTTCAAATCTTCTGTTTCTATTTTTCACTTCATTTTAATCTTTTGTTTACACAAACAATGTATTAATACAATACAATGCTTGTTTGTTTCATTTTATTATTTTTTCTGCTTGAAATTCTTAATTTTTTACGGTTTTTGGTTCTCTTACTGTTTTTTTTTTACTTAATTTTTCATACTTGTTCTTTTGTTCTTTCATCTTATTCTCTTACTATTTTGAATTTAATTTTCTTTTCTTTATGTCTTTTTTTTTCTCTAAATGCTTTTCCTTTACTTTTAAATTGTTTAAGGCGACATACAAATAGCCAGCGATTGTTTACCATTTTTTCTTACTTATTTTTTAATTTTTTTTCTAGATACGAATCGTTGGAACTGTGCAAACCAGTCCTGTTGCAAGGCCGTAAACAGCTCTTGGAAAAATGGCTAAAAGAAGACAAACTCGAGTGTTCGGAAGAATTGGGCGATTTAGTGAAACAAGCCGACTCAACTCTCGCCCTATCGGTTTACCTCCGTGCTAATGTACCAGCCAAAGTGATTCAAAGTTTTGCCGAAACTGGTCAATTCCAAAAAATCGTTCTCTATGCAAAGAAAGTCAACTACACACCTGATTACATTTATTTGCTTCGTTCCGTAATGCGAACAAATCCCGATCAAGGAGCCGCTTTCGCAAGCATGCTTGTTGCTGATGAAGAACCTCTTGCTGATATCAATCAAATCGTTGATATTTTCATGGAACAAAACATGGTGCAGCAATGTACAGCTTTCCTCCTTGATGCATTGAAACACAATAGACCGACCGAAGGTCATCTCCAAACGAGACTCCTCGAAATGAACTTAATGTCAGCGCCTCAAGTGGCCGATGCTATTTTGGGGAATAACATGTTTACGCATTATGATAGGGCTCATATTGCACAGCTTTGCGAGAAAGCTGGACTTTTGCAACGAGCACTCGAACACTATACTGATTTGTATGACATCAAGCGTGCTGTAGTACACACCCATCTTCTACCCATGGATTGGTTGGTGAATTTCTTTGGGACTTTGAGTGTTGAAGATAGTTTAGAGTGTCTCAAAGCCATGCTGACAGCTAATATACGACAAAACCTTCAGATTTGTGTCCAAATCGCGACGAAATATCACGAACAACTTACAACGAAAGCGTTGATTGATTTGTTTGAGAGTTTCAAGAGTTATGAAGGTCTTTTCTATTTTCTTGGTTCCATTGTGAATTTCTCGCAAGATCCAGATGTCCATTTCAAGTATATTCAAGCGGCGTGTAAGACTGGACAAATTAAGGAAGTGGAGAGGATTTGTCGCGAGTCGAATTGTTATAATCCTGAAAGTGTCAAGAATTTCCTGAAAGAAGCCAAATTGACCGATCAATTGCCCTTGATTATTGTGTGCGATAGATTCGATTTTGTGCACGATTTGGTCTTGTATCTCTATAGGAATTCTCTGCAAAAGTACATCGAGATCTATGTACAAAAGGCAAGTTTTTATTTTATTCATATTTGGCGGTTTTTTAATCAGGAGAATTTAGAAAAATTACTTTATTTGTGATTTTTTACTCCTATTTCATTTTCTTGTAATTCTTTTGCGTTCGACAGCCTTCTTCATTGTTTATTTCTTTTTTATCTTATGTTTTTTCTATTCTATTTTCTATTGTTTGTTTCACAAAAAACGATATATTTATAAAAGACTTAACAAAAGTCTTTAAAAAGAGATTTCAGAAAGCACTAAAAATATTACAAAATCCTTTTTCACAAGAATTGAATCAAAAATTGTTTGGTTCTACCGGACATCAAATTTTTGACACTTTCTGAAAATCTATTATAAAGCAGGCTTTAACGTCAAATTTGACATTTCAAAACAAAGGAACATCAGTGACATTAATTGTAAATAAGGTGTCACATACAATGACAAAATTTTGAAAAAAATTGTCGTTCTTTTAATTTTTTAAACTTTTTATCATTCAATCAAACATTGTTTAGTTCTTTTGGACATAAAATGGACATCAAATTTTTTGATGATTTTTGACATATATTAAAATTTACTGTAAAGCAGACTTAAATATCAAATTTTAACATTTGAAAACCTCTAAAACGTCAAAATGACAGGTCAAATTGATTTCTGGAGCACTAACCAAAAATTGTCTGCCTTTATGTTAATAACATATTAATTAATTTTACGAGAAAGGAACTGCTTACCACAAAGCAAAACAATAATAATATTATTAATTTTTTACTTTTTAAATTGGTGTCATACATGAGAAAAAAAAAATTGAAAAAAAATATACATTTTTAGTTTTTTAATCTTTTTTATAACAATTGAATAAAAAGTTGTTTAATTTTACGGGACATAAAATTTTTGACACCTTCTGAAAATTTACTGTAAAGCGGGCCTTAACGTCAATTTTGACATTTCAACACGTCAAAATTACGGAAAAGCAGTGACATTAAATTGAAAATATTATTACTAACTAAGGGCCGTTTTACATTTAATTTCAACAGAACAGAAAATATTTTAGATATTTAATAAAGAAGTTTGGTAATTTAAATTGTAAGATTTCTATTTTTATAGTCGTTTTTGTTTATTTTAAGAAGTCTGATTATAATTAGTGTTTTTGGTTCGTTAGAAAAATTATCGCTCAAACGTCTTGTCTGAAATTTTTCAAATTAATAATTAAAATGATTAATTTTATAACAAAACAAGAATTTTTTTCTTAAATATTTGAAAAAAAAAATATTAAAATCAAAATTTGTAATAAATAACTGTTTACGAGAAAGCAAAACACTAATGATATTAATTTTTATTTTTTAAATTGGTGTCATACATGATACATATAGAAAGACAAAATTTTGAAAAAAATTGTCCCTTTATTAGTTTTTTCTACTTTTTTTTTATCATTCAATCAAAAATTGTTTAGTTCTCTTGGACAGAAAATCAACACCAAATTTTTGCCATTTATTAAAATTTAGTGTAAAACAGGCTTTAATATCAAATTTTGACATTCGAAAACCTCTAAAACGTCAAAATGACAGATCAAATTGATTTCTGGAGTACTAACCAAAAATTGCCTTTATGTTAATAACATATTAAAAAATTCTCGTTTAATTTTATGTGAAAAGAACTGTTTACCACAAAGCAAAACACTAATAATATTTTTTTTTTACTTTTTGAATTGGTATCATACATAAGAAAAAACAAAATTTTCAAAAAATTGATACATTTTTGGTTTTTTAATCTTTTTTTTTATAACAATTGAATAAAAAATGTTTAATACAGGACATCAAATTTTTGAGACCTTCTGAAAATTTACTGTAAAGCAAGCCTTAACGTCAACTTTGACATTTCAAAACGTCAAAGCAGTGACATTAAATTGAACATGTGGTTACATGCCGTTTTACACTTAATTTCAACAGAACAGAAAATATTTTAGAAAATCAAAAAAAAAATTGGTAATTTAATTTGTAAAGTTTCTACTTTTTAGTTGTTTTTGCTTATTTTAAGAAGTCTGATTATTGTTAGTGTTTTTGGTTCGTTAGAAAAAATATCGTTCAATCGTTTTGTGTTTACGGAATAAAAGCACTTGTTTCCTCCCTTGCTCGTGCTTTAGAATTTTTTATTCTTTATAAAAACTCATGAATGTTTATGGAAAAAAAAAATTTTTATTCTTCGACACTGTCAAAATTTACGGTTTTTCTCTCGTGTAAGGATGTTTTGACAACTGTTTGGCATTTCTCAATACAAAACGTCAAATTATTTTTAACAGATTTAAAGCAAGTTTAAGCCTTGTTGACTCTAATTCGAAGAATAAAATGTTGTATTCCACTCGTTTGAGTGTAAATCGGACGCTTTATTCCACCTCGTGGATGGTAAACCACTCGTTACACTCGTGGTTTAAAAATCCACTCGGTCAAATAAAGAGTCCGATTTACACTCAAACTCGTCGAATAAATAACTATTAATCAGAACAATTTAGAAAAATTCGTTTACTCTTACTTCGTTTTATTTGTAATTCTTGTGTCTTATTTATTTCTTTTAATTTCATATTTTCTTTTCTTGTTTTTTTAAATTTAGCACTCTTTTGTTAAACACCAAAAAAAATCCAAATAACTGTGGTTTTTTTTCGCTTCAGGTGAATCCCAGTCGTCTCCCCGTCGTGGTGGGCGGCCTCCTCGACGTCGACTGTGCCGAAGACATCATCAAAAACCTAATCCTCGTCGTGCGTGGTCAATTCTCCACCGATGAACTCGTCGAAGAAGTGGAAAAACGCAACCGTTTGAAACTCCTTCTACCCTGGCTGGAAAGTCGTGTTCATGAAGGTTGTGTCGAACCAGCCACTCACAACGCCTTAGCCAAAATCTACATCGATTCAAACAACAACGCTGAACGTTTCCTCAAAGAGAACCAATGGTACGATTCACGCGTTGTTGGTCGCTACTGCGAGAAACGCGACCCCCATCTTGCTTGCGTCGCCTATGAACGTGGTCAATGCGATCGCGAATTAATCGCAGTCTGTAACGAAAATTCGCTATTCAAATCCGAAGCTCGTTATTTAGTGAGACGAAGAGATCCTGAATTATGGGCCGAAGTCTTACAAGAAAGTAACCCTTATCGAAGACAGTTGATTGATCAAGTGGTCCAAACAGCGCTGAGTGAAACACAAGACCCTGAGGATATTTCAGTCACTGTTAAAGCCTTCATGACGGCTGACCTCCCCAATGAATTGATTGAATTGCTTGAAAAAATCGTCTTGGATAGTTCGGTCTTTTCCGATCATCGAAATTTGCAAAATCTCTTGATTTTGACTGCGATTAAAGCTGATGCAACCCGTGTCATGGATTATATCAATCGTTTGGACAACTACGATGCTCCTGATATTGCCAATATCGCGATTAATAATCATCTCTATGAGGAGGCTTTTGCTATTTTCAAAAAATTCGATGTTAATACTTCCGCTATTCAAGTTTTAATCGAACAAGTAAATAATTTGGATCGTGCTTATGAGTTTGCAGAACGTTGCAATGAACCAGCTGTTTGGAGTCAATTAGCTAAGGCACAATTGAATCAAGGTTTGGTTAAGGAAGCTATCGATTCGTATATTAAAGCTGATGATCCATCTGCGTACATGGCTGTTGTTGAAACCGCTTCAAAGAATAATTCATGGGAGGATTTGGTTCGCTATTTGCAAATGGCGCGTAAAAAATCAAGAGAGAGTTATATCGAATCAGAATTGATTTATTCGTATGCTAAAACCGGACGACTTGCTGATTTAGAAGAGTTTATAAGTGGTCCAAATCATGCCGATATACAGAAAATCGGTGATCGTTGTTTTGATGATAAAATGTACGATGCTGCAAAATTGCTGTATAATAATGTCTCGAATTTCGCAAGATTGGCCATCACTCTGGTGCATCTTAAGGAGTTTCAGGTATTGACAATAATTGAATCAGAAAAAAGTGGGACATCAAATTTTTGACATTTACTGTAAAGAAGGCTTTAATATCAAATTTTGACATTTAAAAACCTCTAAAACGTCAAAATGACAGGTCAAATTGATTTCTGGAGCATTAACCAAAAATTGCCTTTATGTTAATAACATATTAAAAAACACTCGATTAATTTACGAGAAAAGAACTGTTTTCCACAAAACAAAACACTAATAATATTATTAATTTTTTACTTTTTAAATTGGTGTCATACAAAAACAAAATTTTGAAAAAATTGTTACATTTTTATTTTTTTTTAAACAATTGAATAAGAAGTTGTTTAATTCTACCGAACATCAAATTTTGACATCTAAAAATTTACTGTAAAGCCTTAACATTAATTTTGACATTCAAAAAGTCAAAATTACGGAAAAGCAGACCATTAAATTGAAAATGTTGTTACTATCTGAAGGCCGTTTTACACTTACTTTCAACAGAACAGAAAATATAGAAAAATTTTTTTTTGGTAATTTCACTTGTAAAATTTCTACTTGTATAATCGTTTTTGTTTATTTTAAGAAGTCTGATTATTATTAGTGTTTTTGGTTCGTTAGAAAAATTATCGCTCAAACGTCTTGTCTGAATTTTTTCAAATTAATAATTAAAATGATTAATTTTATAACAAAACAAGAAATTTTTTTCTTAAATATTTGAGAAAAAAATGATTAAAATCAAAATTTGTAATAAATAACTGTTTACGAGAAAGCAAAACACTAATATTATATATATATTTTTTAAATTGATGTTATACATGATAACATGAAGACAAAATTTTGAAGAAAATTGTCACTTTTTAAAAATTTTTAAACTTCTTTTTATCATTCAATCAAACAATGTTTAGTTCTCCTGTACCTAAAATGGACATTAAATTTTTGCCATTTATTAAAATTTAAGACTTTAATATCAAATTTTGACATTTGAAAACCTCTAAAACGTCAAAATGACAGGTTAAATTGATTTCTGGAGTACTAACCAAAACACAACAAAACCCTCATAATATTATTATTTTGTTACTTTTTAAATTGGTATCATACATAAGAAAAAAAAGTTTTGAAAAAATTGTTACATTTTTTTTTTAACAATTGAATAGGAAGTTGTTTAATTCTACCGGACATCAAATTTTTGGCACCTTCTGAAGATTTACTGTAAAGCAGGCCTTAACATCAATTTTGACATTTAAAACGTCAAAATTACGGAAAAGCAGTACATTAAATTGAAAATGTGATTACTATCTAAAGACTGTTTTACACTTAATTTCAACAGAACAGAAAATATTTAAGATATCCAAAAAAAATTTTTAGTAATTTAATTTGTTTTTACTGTAAAGCAGGCTTTAACGTCAAATTTACATTTCAAAACGTCAAAATGACGTAGTCAATGACATTGAATTGAAAATGAGGTTATTATCTAAGGGCCGTTTTACACTTAATGTCAACAGAATGATTTTGTGTCTTATTTTTTTGTACTTTCTCGCACTTTTTTGAGATAAATAAATACAAGGCCGGAAATTTGTAACTCGTTAAATTATGTAATTAAATTTAAATGAAAATAATTACATTTTTTTAGATAGATGTTCAAGAATTCTTTTTGGTAATTTGTAAAATTTCTACTTTTGTAGTCGTTTTCTTAAAAAAATATCGTACAAACTACTTTTTTGAATGAAAAATTATTTGGTTCTACTGGTCATCAAATTTTTGACACTTACACTGTGAAGCGTGCTTTAACGTCAAATTTGACTTTTTAAAACGTCTAAATATTAACTTAAAAATGAGGTTATTATCTAAGGGTCATTTTACACTGTCATTTTATGAATTTTGGTAAAAAATATTGTTATTTAATTATTGTAGGGGGCCGTTGATAGTGCACGCAAGGCCAACAGCACGCGCACTTGGAAGGAGGTCTGTTTTGCATGTGTGGACGCCGAAGAGTTCCGTTTGGCCCAAATGTGTGGAATGCACATTGTAGTCCATGCTGATGAGCTTCAAGATCTCATCAACTACTACCAAGATCGTGGCTATTTCGAAGAACTTATTGGTTTGCTAGAAGCCGCTTTAGGTCTTGAACGTGCCCATATGGGTATGTTCACCGAATTGGCAATTCTCTATTCGAAATACAAACCGGCAAAAATGCGCGAACACTTGGAATTGTTCTGGTCACGTGTTAACATCCCTAAAGTGTTACGAGCTGCAGAACAGGCACATCTATGGGCCGAATTAGTTTTTCTCTATGATAAATACGAAGAGTATGATAATGCCGTTTTGGCTATGATGGCACATCCGACTGAGGCATGGCGTGAAGGACATTTCAAAGATATCATAACTAAAGTGGCCAACATTGAATTGTATTACAAAGCGATACAGTTTTATTTGGATTATAAACCGTTGTTGTTGAACGATTTGTTATTGGTGTTGGCACCAAGAATGGATCATACAAGAGCTGTGGCGTTTTTCACAAAGACGGGACATTTGCAACTTGTCAAGTCGTATTTGAGGTCGGTGCAGAATTTGAATAATAAAGCCATCAACGAAGCTCTCAATTCGTTGCTGATTGAAGAAGAGGATTTCCAGGTTTGTTTTATTTTTTAATCACCGGAGAAGAAGTAAAATATTGTTTTTCTAATTTGCGTTTATTTACGTCTCTCAGTAGGAGTCGTTTTTTGGCTATCTATAAAAGAACACTGTACTTTAATTTTATTTGTTATTATTATGTTGTAAGACTAATAACTAATAACACAGGGCGACAAAAAAAAAAGTCATGTCGTGACAACTTGCCAAATTTTATATCATTTTGTTCGTCTCAGTGAGACAAATCAAATGCCCTAGAAAAAATTAAAAGTCCACACACTTTGAACTAAATATATTTTTTCTAATTTAAATGAATTTAAAATATTTTGACTTTAAAAATCATTACTTAATAACTATTAGGCCGATTTCCTTCAAATAAAGACCATTCTAAAGGGATGGACTTGCCCTTTAGGAAATAATTATAAAACTTGAAATTGAATGTTGGCAAACTTTTCTTCGAACAGTGTTTCAAGAAGTTCGAAGTAAATCGAAGTAATCTAAAAAAAACCCTACGAGAAAATTTTTATTTCTTTGTCACCATCGTGTAGATCATCTTTTTATTAGTAAGAATCCGAATTTTTAAATCAATATACCACATAGTTTTTGTGATATGATTTTTTGAAGTTAAGGTTTGCTATTCAGGTATTGCGCCATATAGGAGAAATACATGTTAATCTTACTTAAAATTGCATTTTTATAAAAGTATTTGTTTTAAGACTCTTCTTTTGCTTAAAAATGATCAATTGCACCTTCTTTGTTCTAATTAGAATAAACAAAAACTGTTTGTTTACTTAAAACAAACAAAGAGTACTTGCGTACTAATTAAAGCAAATAAAGAATTTTTTTGTTCTAAAAATTTTAAAGTTAAAGTATTTTAAATTCATTTAAATTAAAAAAAAAATATAGTTAGTTCAAAGTGTGTGGACTTTTAAATGTTTTTTTAGTGCATTTGATTTGTCTCACTGAGACGAACAAAATGATATATAATTTGTCAAGTTGTCACGACATGACTTATTTTTTGTCGCCCTGTGTAATTTGTAAATTTTATTTTTAATGACAGACGGCAGAAATGATTCAAAAAATCAGGTGGGCGCCGAGTGTTACCAACCGATACCAACTAACACAAAATCCTCTAGACGACAAAAATATATTTTTTTTAATTAAAATAAGAAAAAAGGGGGTGCAAATTAGAAAAAATAGCATAAAATACTCGTTTTATAATGACATTGGCGCACTCATCCCATAGAAAACTTGCCTACGGCTCGTTTTCTTAATTGGTATTCGTGCGCCAAATCAACCCTTGTAAAACTTGTTCTTTAATATATTATTTTTTACAGGGTTTGAGAACGTCAATCGACGCTTTCGACAACTTCGACAATATCGGCCTGGCCCAAAAATTGGAAAAACACGAATTGACCGAATTCAGACGTATCGCTGCTTATTTATACAAAGGCAACAACAGATGGAAACAGAGTGTTGAATTATGTAAGAAAGATCGACTCTTCAGAGACGCAATGGAATACACAGCTGAATCGAAAAATCAAGAATTGGCCGAAGAACTACTGGCGTGGTTTTTGGAACGAAAGGCCTACGATTGTTTTGCAGCATGTCTCTACCAAGTAATTAACTAATTTTCTTGTTTTTTTTTTTATATAAATGTGTTTTTTTAGTGCTACGATTTGTTAAGGCCTGACGTAATATTAGAGCTAGCTTGGAGACACAAAATAATGGATTTGGCGATGCCTTATTTGATTCAAGTGACGCGAGAATTGACCACAAAAGTGGAGAAATTAGAACAGTCGGATGCACAAAGACAGAGTGAAGCTGCTGAAGAAACACACAAGCCGATGATGATCAACGAGCCACAGTTAATGCTAACGGCAGGGCCCGCCATGGGTATGTAGTGATTTTTATTTTATTTTTTTTAACTAAGTTTACAACACAATTTTCCAGGCATTCCGCCTCAGGCGTACGTCCCGCCCCAAGCCTACGCCCAGCCGGGCTACGCCCCCCAGATGCCGTACGGTGCTTACCCGGGCATGTAATATAAGGAGAATTTTAGCCAGCGTTATGATAATTACAAGTTTAGAAGAGGAAATGGTTCAAATGACGCTACTATTAATAAAAATCTTTTTTTATTTTAATCGCAAAGTTTACTAAATTAAAAATTAATGTTATGTAATATACAAAGAGAACAGTTCCATTGGTTCAAACAACAGCCGTTAACTTTACGAATTAGAGAATTTTTTTCGGTTAATAGTCACTGTAAAATTGTACAGTGTAGCTGAATTTGTTGAAAAACCTAACATAACGAAACTGTTAATTGTGTGAAATTCGCTAGATTCGCTTTATTAATTAGCTAGTTCGTACAAGTTGATTTTGTTGGGTCATTATCGTACTACTTTTTTTTATTTAACTTCCATTGTAAATGTTAGTGTTTTATGAGTAATTTTTGTTATGTCTATGAGGTGGGTGCTTTTTGTTACAATGTACATAATTGTAATATGTACCGGGCAAAAGTACAGTGTATATAACCTTTCGGAAACTTGCTATTTAGTCTATCAACCACACACCCACCCACACGTATTCTTACTATGATTTATCAATCAATGTTTATCATTCCCATTTATAGTGTTATTTAAAATCAAATATATGTATTAAGTATCAAATTCTTTAACTTATATATTGCCGCACCTTTTATTAGGTTTGTAGTAGTTATTTTACTATGATTATGAGCTAAAATAAACAAGTACTTGCCCACCAATTTTTGATTCAAAACCCGTTTATCATGCCCAAGTGGGGAAACAAATTTTTATTCAAGTGAAACAAATTTCGTAGATGTGATAAGTCGATAACAAATCTTATAATTTTAATATCTGAGATAAGGCCCCAATTTTGGGAAACGCAGAATTCAAAATTGGGTGACATAACCTAAGAAAACAAAAAAGGAATTGTTTATTTCTGTGAAAAATGGAAAACATAAAGGACGTTTACGTGACGGACTACATCCCCACAATCTACACAACCCCTTGCACCATGCGCTACACCCAGAACGGCAAAACCCTGGAACGTGGCATTTTCGCGGAACGCAACGGGGTTATCATCATTGTTTACAACAGGACGCAAAATGTGCTCGTTTTAGTGCGCCAATTTAGGCCTTCAGTCTACTTGAGTCGCATTCCAAAGGGGGCCCGTGTCGGTATGATCGATACAGCGAAGTACCCAGCCAGTTTGGGTATTACTTTGGAGTTTTGTGCGGGTTTAGAAGACAAAACTGCCTCAACGGAACAAATCGCACGAGAGGAAATACTCGAAGAGTGTGGTTACGATGTTCCTTTAGAAAAATTGGAGAAAATTGGTACTTTTAAAAACTTGACTGAGACCACAGGGGCGAGGACTACAATGTATTACTGTGAAGTTACGGACGATATGAGGGTGACAACAGGGGGTGGAGTCGATGATGAGATTATTGATGTGATTGAAATGCCTGTAGAGAAAGTTTTGGAATATGCAAGACAAGGTTATGTCAACAGTCCCATGAACTTCATGTTCGGACTTCAATGGTTTTTGTACCATAAATACAAGGTCTAGATCGAATTTATTTGTTCAAGAAAGTGATACATACAAATTATAATTAATAAAAATTAAATAAACATTGAGCCATCTATTTTTGTTCACTCAATAAACACTCCCCGTCTTTGTCTAACATCTAGTGTAGTGTATTGCCCTCACTCTTTGTTATGTTGGTAAACAGTTGAAACTTAGAATTAAAAAAATTTTAGAGATTTTTTTTAAACGCTTTCTTTACACTTGGGTAGACATACAGGGTGAATATAAAGTATGGAACCAAGCGGTTTTATTTTTAATCATTTGCCTCCAGAAAATAATAATTAATATAAATTAAAGTTATATAAATAATATAACGAAATTTTGTTTTGTTTTTGAGTTATGTGATTTTTTTTTGTCAAAATTGCAATTTATGTGAAAAAATTAAATATAAAGCAGATAGTTGTAATCCTTATAGTATAGCTTTTATGAGAAAAATGATTTTATAGTGGGTTGCCATTTAAAAAAATATTTTTTTTTGTATAACTCAAAAACAAAAGGAAATTTCGAAAAATGTTATTCTTTTTAAATCACCACATTTTTATAGTAGTTTATCACTCATCAATTAGTTTTTTCAAAAAATAAATAGTTTAAGCAAAAATCGTTTGGTTCCATACTTTTTATTCACCTGGTATAACAAAAGTAACAGAGATAAAAGTGGTGGGTGAGCTCGAGGAGGGGGAGGGGTTAAAGGTGTCTTTCTTTGGTTTTTTGCTTATATCTCGGAAATTTTCACTCCTATAGATTTTTATCTTCTTATCAAAATTGAAGCTTACAAAATTTCCTACAAAAATGGTCCTTTGCATTTTTGTTGTAGGACTAACCGTAAGCGAGTTATAGGGCAAAAAGAATAATTGGCTTTATCTGCATTTAAAACAGAATTAGTCTTGTAATTTAAAAAAAAAACTGTCACTAAATTGAATTTACTGGGTTCAATACTTCACGAGGGTCTATAAATGCAAACTCATCGTTTATGTAATTTATGCAGAATTTTCTGTAGAAGTCTATTTCTGCATTAAAAATCCTTTGAAACACATTTCATTAGTTTATGGTAAGTATTTATATGTGTAGAGCGTTCCTCAACTAAGCTGGTCTGCCTGAAAGGTGACTCGGGTGTAAACATTTAAACGGAGATATAAATAAAAATTTTGAAAGAAAGAGAGTATCAATTTCTAAGGAGGTTAAATGGGGTGTAAATGTTGAAACAAAGACATAAACATCAACTTCTTTAGAGGTGTAAAGAGGCACTAAAATCAGATTTTTCGAAAATTAGTTTTTAAGGGAATAAAACGATGTACACATTAAAAGGATATAAAAATATTAAATTTAGAAAATACGATCCTTTTAGAGAGTGAAATTTTTTTTAGAAATTTTAATGAAATAAAATAGAGTTTAAACGCTTAAAAACAAAATTAGAAACTTGAAATTTCGAATTTTGAGAGTGCAGAAGTACACTGAGACGACACAAGATTAATTCTATTTTAAATGCGGATAAATCACATTATTTTAAATGATGTTTTTGTCAGCCCTATAACTCGCTTACAGTTAGTCCTACAACAAAAATGCAAAGGACCATTTTTGTCGGAAATTTTGTAAGCTTTAACTTTGATAAGCAGGCAAAAACCGCTAGGAGTAATAGTTTCCGAGATATAAGCAAAAAAACAAAAAAAGACACTTTTAGCCCCCTCCCCCTCCTCGAGCTCGCCCCCCACCTTCAGGGACTTTTGAAATATGTCTACTCAAGAATAAAGAAAGCGTTTAAAAAAAATCCAACTCTCTAGGATTTTTTTTCCACGGATCGCCCTATTTTTGTCTAATTTGACTGGGCTATGTTGCAAATCAAGTAATTTATACTCTTTTTCATATTAATGTGCATCAAGTAGGTTGTAGAAGTCTAAATGCTTCTTTAAATTAGAGGCCGATTCACACAAAAAGTGTCATTAATGTCATTCAGAACAAATTTAATCACATCAATAATGACAAAAATCTTTATGTTTTCCACCCTATATTAATTAGATACCTTGTCAATTTAAATTATTTTTACTACCTCAAAGACTGGGGTAGACATTTATTTGAGAAAATACTTTTTAGGGAAGATTGAAGTTGGGATTGTTTGAATTTTCGCATGGTTGCCACCTTAAAATGCTCATTTTCAACGGCTACTTCGATGCACATTACTATGAAAACGACTATATTTATGATAAATAAAATAAAAATTAAACTTTGAGTCATCTATCTATTTTTGTTCATCTTATGGTACTTCTCGTCTTCGTCTTACATTTGGTGTTCTTTATTACTCTCTCTCGTTCTACCACCTGTTGATAAAGTTGGTTTTCTGTTTAGTCATTTTGGAGCTGTGTCGAACACAAATCTCGGATTATTTTGAGTGATTCAATTAAGTTAATTTTTTATTTTTATTTGTAAATGAATCAATAAAAATCAGAATAAAGTAAATAAAAACCATTCGTCTATTTTTGTTTACTTTGAAAACTCTCCGTCTTTGTCTCACTCTTAGTGTTTCAGTGTTGTTGTATTTCGCCCCACTCTTTCTCCCACTTGTTGATAAAGTTGGTTTCTGTTATTTTGTCAAGTTGGTGGTAGCATGGCGGCCGTTTGGTGTGTGTGTGTGAAACAGTTAAAGTCTCGAATAATTTATTTAAAAGCGATTAAATTGAGCAAATGTTGTTAAAAAGCCAAGTTTCAAGTGCCTGAGAGTATAAATTCAGTGAGAAATGTTCCGGTTTCTTAGCGGCCGCAAAAATCGTACAAACACCCGCACAAACGGAACCAGCGAAATAAAACCGACAAAATTAATAAACAAGAACTTGATTTTGTGTCGTGTTATTCTTCTTGATGGCACCGATTTATCTGTGGAATTATCAGTAAGTAGATTTATCAATTTGATAAGATATGAGCGTGGGCGTTGCGATACACTGCGTGTCAAAAACAATGTCCTCTTCTCGTGCCCTAAATTGAGACAATGCTGGGAAGTGTTGATTAGATCTAAACTTTCCAATTTCCCATCTGACTGACTGATTTATTTCAGAAAAAGGCCGAAGCCAGGGATCTTTACGAGCAGGTCTTCTACTCCCTGGACTTGATTGAAAAGGACTACTTCGGGCTGCAATACACCGATGCAAATCATGTTAAACATTGGCTCGATCCCACAAAATCCATAAAAAAACAAATTAAAAGTACAGTTTTCACTTTTTTATTCAACAAAACAAACATGTTTTATTTTTAGTCGGCCCTCCGTACACTTTGAGATTAAAAGTCAAGTTTTACTCATCTGAACCCAATAACTTAAGAGAGGAGTTAACACGGTACCAATTTTTTTTGCAACTCAAACAAGATATATTAGAGGGGAAATTAGAGTGCCCGCATCAGACTGACGTTGAATTGGCGGCTTTAGCTCTACAGTGTGAGTAAAAATCGTTTTTTATTGATAATTGAATGATAAGCGTACAAGTTTTTATCGTTGGCGCCGAAATTCAAATCGGCCTTTGGCGAAAGTCGAAGGCGGCGACGACCGAATAAGAAAACTTTTGAAACCGTAAAATTTTTGCTAAAATTAAAAATTCTCATTTTCAAATTTAATCTCTCTCAATTATTCACATTTGATTCAGTTGACAGTGACGAAAAAAACGGTTTTTTGTCACAAAAGTTGGGAACTTCGAATCTGCTTGGCGTTCAATTGTTTCGAGAAAAAACTTAATTTTTTATTTACTTACTTTTAATTATCGCCTGTTTTCCACTAATGTAACATTCAAAAGTCTATTTTCACGTTTTATCATCACTTTTCCACTCACTTTTAAATGTCAAAAAAAATCCGAATTCATTCGAAGATAGCCGAACGACTTGAAGTTAGCTAGAAATTGAAAATTTTATTTTTTTAATAACTTTATTATTTTAGTTGGTAAAGTATTGGCATGTTTTTTACGTATTTGTGGCATTAAAATTCAATTAATTGTTATTTTTAAAGTCATGCAACCAATTATACTCGAGGTAAAAAATTTAAATAAAATGGGTTCCTTTGTTGGCAAAGAAAATTGTTTTTAACAAAAATGGTACAGTTCCCAAAAAACTAAGAAATACTGAACATTTTTAATACTGGCTTTTTGCTTTAATTTAATTAACCAAAAATTGAACAAAAACCATTTGTGCGACCCCTAAATGCACATTACAACAAAGTTTTTTGCTACTATTTCTGTATTTAGAGCGAGATTGAAGGTTCGAATCTAAAGTTCAAACGATCGAGGTCATAAAATCTATTATTTGAAATGTAAATTATGTTAGGATAGTAATGTTTTAAGGTTTTTGTCCTCATTTATTTAATAAATGTAGAAAGTAGTGTAAGTTGAGTAAGATTATAGATATTTTAATACATTTATTTTACTTCAGTTTATTAACAGTTGAAGGTTTCACAATTTTCTGTAAAATTTAATGTAAGACTTCAATTTTATTTTAAGAGAATATTTGGAATACCTGGTTAAATTAATCAAGTAAGCGTGGAAACTTAAATGACAAAAGAGAAATGTCAAAATAATTTTTATAGTAAATTATGACAAGAAACCGTGTTTATCTGGACAACAACATCTCATTCTAGGATATTTTGAGGGGTTTTAGATCAATATTTTAAATAATTTTTTTTTTGACATCTAGTTACTTGAAAATAGAAAAGCTTTTTGATCGCATTGTATTTCTGGTGTTTTTTTCTTTCTTTTGATTGAGAAATAATTCTCCTGTTTTTTTTATTTTGTTGATCTTAACATAGATTTTGATTTTTTTGTTTGTGATTTTGGGTGATGTTTTCATGTTTTTTGTAGCCGAACTGGGGGACTACGATGAGTCTCAGCACACCGCAGCCACCGTTTCCGAGTTCCATTTCGTCCCTAACCAAACCGAAGAAATGGAAATCGAAATATTGGAAGAATTTAAAAAACTGCGTGGTTTAACACCAGCTCAAGCCGAACTAAGTTATTTAAACAAAGCAAAATGGCTTGAAATGTACGGTGTTGACATGCACACCGTTTTAGGCAAAGATGGAATGGAATATCGTCTTGGTTTAACACCAACTGGAATTTTAGTTTTCGAAGGTAGTCAAAAAATCGGTCTTTTTTTCTGGCCAAAAATCGGAAAACTCAATTTCAAAAAGAAGAAATTAACACTTGTGGTCGTCGAAGATGACGATCAAGGACGAGAACAAGAACACACTTTTGTGTTTCGTTTGCATAATGAAAAAGCGTGCAAACATTTATGGAAATGTGCTGTTGAACATCATGCTTTTTTCCGACTTCGAGCGCCTGTTAAGGGGCCTTCAGCACGACAGAATTTCTTCAGAATGGGTTCGAGGTTTCGCTATTCGGGAAGGACCGAATACCAGAGCACACATCATAACAAACCGAGACGAAGCGTCCAATTGGAGCGGAGGCCGAGTCAGAGGTATGGACGCAGACAGAGTCATGTTTTAAGAGAGAAACAGAAGATGGAACAGGCCAATGAAAATGAAAATAAAGCCGAAAACAACGAACCGAGTTCGAGTAGATGTAGTGTGAGGTCGAATGGGGGTGTTGAATCGCTAGGGAAGGGGTCAGTGGGACAAAATTCCTTCGGGAAGGGGTCCATAGGTTGCAATTCTTACAGGTGATTTTCTATTATTGTGATTTTGTCCAAAAAAAATGACAATTTTTAGTCCTGTTTTGTCAACTGGAAGCAAAAACGGTACCTTGAAACGAAATTCAACCCCAACAAGTCCAAATAATGACATCCAGCTTGATTTTCTCCTGAAAAGTTTAGCGAAAGAAACGCAAAAAGATGAGACCCGAAATGAAATTAATAACAAAGATGTGAAGGATGATGAACCGAAGAATATAGCAAAACCTTTACCTCCAGGACAACTTAAGTGCAACGTACTGAAAGGTAATCTAATATACAGGGTCATTCACATAGAAGGCACAAAATTTAAAATTCGCTATTTTAAATTTTGCCATTTTTATTACAAATTTGAAAAAAAACCAGCACAACAATAATCTAATGGTTAAAATCGGGGCTTTGCGGAGGCCAAAGTTGTTTGTTATCAATGATAAGAGTACAAAGTCTAGGTATGTAAGTGGGGGAGTTTTTATATTTGGCGCCGACTTTTGTCGAGGTCGAGAAAAGGCGGCGACGGCCGAAGGTAAACGAATGCCAAAATTTGAAATCGTAAAATTTTCACTAAAATTATAAAATTCTTATTCAGATTTGAATTTCTTTGTCGTTTATTAACATGTGATTTAGTGGAAAGTCAAGAAAAATGCATTTTTCGTTATAAAAACTTGACAACTTTGAATCTGCTTGGCGTCACTCGAGATTCAATTGTTTCGAGAGAAAACTTAATTATTTATTTACTTACATTTAATTATCGCCTGTTTTCCACTAATGGAACACTAAAAAGGCACTTTTCACGTTTTATCACCACTTTTTACCAGTTTTTCAGAAGTTTCACTCACTTTCAAATGTCAAAAGAAAAACCGAACTAACGCGAAGATGGCCGAACGACTTGAAGTTAGCTAGGCATTTAAATTAAAAAAATAACCTTAATTCGTTAATAACTTAATTATTTTAGTCGGTAAAGTCTTGTCATGTTTTTTAGGTCTTTGTAGCACTAAAATTCAACTAGAAACAATTGATTGTTATTTTTAGTTATGCAACCCATTATACACCAGATAATTGTTTAAATAAAATCGGTACTCGCGTTGGCAATGAAAAACTAATAAAGTAATATTTCGCTTTGTAGCAAAACTGGAGGAGGGGACAAAACTGACGAATCAGATGTTTGTGGCGGCGGTGGCCAACGATGAGGCGAATTTAAATTCCTTGAATGCTGCAACTTTCGTCTCAGTGGTGAGTAAAATTTTGTTTAGTTTTCTCGCTTCATGTGTTTGTCGTCTGCTTCTAATGCTGGATTTTCGTGTAATAGGGAGGCGATAAATTAACATTATCGGTAACAGGTCCCCCCAACCCCATCCTAAACAACGACGATAAAAAACGATGCGCGACCCCAGTCACTGTAACATTTTTCGGTCATAATGACAGCGGTAAACTCGAAAAAGTCATGTTGAACAATCACGAAAAACAACCGTTGAGTTTATTGAGCACTGATTCGCAAATTAGTGATAGCGAGTCGAGTGCTTCTACGAATAATTCGAATCCCTTCGCGACGTATTTGACGGCGGAGACGAATCCCTTCCAAGGTCTTAATCCCTTCCTTACTAACAATCCCTTCAGGAGCGAGGAGGAGAAAGATGAGGAGAAGTCCGAAGTGGATGAGTCGATTAAGGTTAGTAGATGGCGCTTTTGCATGTTTTTGGCTTGATTTTGTGTTTTTTTTATTGTTATTCTAATCGTGAAATTTTAGAGCATCGATGAGGATAATAATGTGAAAACACCAACGACAGTTACACCACCTTTGAGCAAATTATCACCGTGGTTGGTGTCTCAGGAGGTCGTGTCTTCACCTGTTTCGAAAGTTAACACGACTGAAACAACTATTATTCGAAAATCGGTCATCACAACACAGTTATAAAATCTGGTGCTTGTTTCTCAATGTGATAAAATTTCCTCTCGCAATATTTTAAGTACTTAAAATATGGTTTTTATTTTGTATATTTATGTAGATTAGGTTTTAAATTTTTTATCATACTGTATTTTATACCACATTTTTTCGACGTGCCTTCCAGTATTTCATCAATTGATTTTTATAAAACGGGAAATTTTCGAAGTGCCATTTTATAAAGTTTGTAATCAATTTTATGAACCGATCCGTCCTTTTGATGAAATTATCGATTCTTTATACAAATAAATATTTATATAATGTTAGCACCGTATTATTTTTGATAATTTTATTACAAACTGTAAAATGCAATAAATACTACAGTCATACCAAAATCGTTATTTGAACACTTTGTTTCTTGTAACAAAGAAAAAAGCGACTAGTTGAGTTACAAAACGAGTTAAAATAAGTACACAAGGCGCCATTGGTGGTAAAAAATAGCACCTTACCAGCGACATTAAAATTTTTAAAACACGATATAAAAAACAACTTGTGTAAAAATCATCAATCACAAGTTTTTTGTGATCTAGCAATTATAAAAACCCTCATTGTTCATGTATATGAAAATCTAAGGCTGTATTAAGACGTCTGAAATCGTTTTTGGTTAAATTAAGTTGGGGCAAGTTTTGAAGAATCAAAGCTAAACATTGAGCCACGTTCATGTTTGGCGCACAACACAGGGCCGGTGTTAGCCCCTCGTTATCAACAGCCGAAACGGAAGCCCCCTTTTGAAGAAGTTCTCTAGTCACGTCCACTAGTCCATTACGCGACGACAAATGAAGAGCCCTAAAACAATTTTTATTTATCAATTAACATTTTGCACAACTTACGTTTTCCCATCATGATTTGCAAGATTAACAAACTCAACATTATCAAGATTTTCAAGAAGTAACAACGCTATGTTGTTATATTTCCTATAACAGGCCCAATGCAGTGCAGTGTTGCCTTGCTTGTCACTTGCACTCCTATCAACTCCATTGCAACTCAATAAATATTCTTGAAACAACTGAATTAATTAAGAAAATAAAAAAATGACGGTTTTATTACCCACGAAGGCCACTTGGCCGTATTGCGCCGCTGCCACCAACGGTGTTCTCCCCTCCTCATCACAGGCGTTAACATCGCCCCCTTTCTCGACTATTAATTTCGCACATTCGACATGACCGTGCAAGGCGGCAATGTGCAAAGGGGTGCGGTCACGTGTATCCCTCAATTGCGTTATTTCAGTCCCGAATTTGTGCAATAATAATTCCAAACAACGCTCCGAACCGGCGAACCTAAAAAAATACAAATTTTCACAAAAATTGGGCGAATTTGGGGTGATTTACGCTGCACAATGAGCCGCCGAGAAGGGATTCCCCTCCATTTGCTCGCAAACGTTGTTCTCCAGCAGGAATTCCACACAATTTGCGTTACCTGAAATACAGGAATCTGTAACTCATGCCAAATTTAATTTTAATCAAAGTGTCAAAAAGCAAATTTGCAAAGGAAAATACTAGTAAATTCTTAGTTCTTAGGAACAATTTTTTTAAATTTTATAGGCTTCCGTTTAAATAAAAACAGATTTTACACAATTTGCGTCGCTTGAAATACAGAAATCTGTAACTTATGTCTTAATTAATTTAATCTTAGTTGTAATTAAAATGCTACTGTTGGTAAAAAGTGTAAAACAGCAAATTTGCAAAGGAAAATACATTTAGGGCCAATTTTTTTTTAACCTTACAGGAATCTGTAACTCAATTAAAATGTTACCTAGTCAGCGAAAAATTGTCAAAAAGCAAATTTGCAAAGAAGAATAGTACAAAATTCTTAGAAACATTTTTTTTTTAACTTGGTGCCTTCCGTTTAAATAAAAACACACAATTAGCGTTAGTAAAAATACAGGAATCTGTAATCACGCAAATACTCAAAAATTGGGATTTGGGGATAAAAACAGAGTTTACAACACCATACCATTATAGCAGGCCCAATGCAAGGCTGAACACTCTTGATTATCCAACACCGTTGTGTCTTTTTCAGTCAAATAACCAAGAATGGTTTGTAAACAGACAAGATGACCACAAGCTGCCGCTAGATGTAGCACACTTTTGCCATAAATGTCGACAGTGTCGGCTTTCGCGTTATTAGATAATAACAATTGCACCATACTATTTTGCCCAGTGACCACCTTGAATTAAAAAATACATAAATATTTGTATTATTATAAATGGGGGACTTACAGCCCTAAACAAACAGGAATGTTTATCATCATCGACAACGTTGGGATCAGCTCCACATTTGAGTAAAGTTTGGACACACTCGATGTGATTCCCCGAAACAGCCAACATTAAAGCGGTTCGTTTGTAGCCATCGTGCATATTGATGATGTTTTTGTCTTCACTGTTGTGTAAAAGTAACGTAAGAGATTGTGAATGACCGTTTTTGGCACTATAATGCACCGCCGTCATGCCATTGACGTTATCACAAAGTGCCACTTTGGCACCGAATCTCAGGAGGATATTGACACATTGGACGTGACCTTCGCGTGATGCGAGGATCAGGGGAGTCAAACCTTGCTCAGTTTGCAAATTCACGTCGTGATAGTAACTCAGGATTGCACGCATGACGTTGATATTGCCGAGTTTTGCCTTAAAAAAATAGTTATTTAATAAACTAGTTTGTTAATGAACTATTAAAGGTGCTTTAAACAGTCAAAACCATTCATTCATTATCAATAAAAAGATTAAAACCTACCGCTAGATGGAGTGGAGTGACATCCGGCATGTCCGGTTCTTGAAAAATCATTGAATTGTTAATAACTACCAATAAGCGACTAACTCCTGCAATGTTGCCACCAGCTAAAGCGTAATGTATTGGTGTGAAACCTCGTCGATCCTTAATAAAAGGATCAGATTTGTGTTCTAAGAGATATTCAATGCATTTGCCTTCAGTGTCATAACCACATGCTAAATGTAAAGGGGTACAACCCTCCATATCGATAGCATTTGTTGAACTTCCTATTCCCACAAGTGTGAAAATACACTGGTAGTGGCCTTGGGATGCGGCATAATGCAAAGGGAGACGTCCAATGTTGTCTTTTAGTTGAAATTTAGCACCGCTGCTCACAAGCAGGTCTAAACATTCCACCGAACTGAAATTTCAAAAATAAATTCTATGCTAAATTTTGCGAAATAAGTTAAGTTTCTGTACTAAATAGGACGAATCAGGCCAAAATAAGGTCAATCTCGATCTAATTTGATGATTTTTCAGCATGTTTTAGTGAGTGAAATCTCGCGAAAAAACTGGGTTTTTCTTATGGGTTTTGTTAAGGGTAATTTTTGATTTAATTTAGTAGTTCTTCAGACTACTTTTGATGAAATTTACGTGCTAATACGTCGTAAAATGTACAAAATAACATTATTTTCGGGGTAGTTTAGGGATTTTTTTGGCAAAATTCCTCGAAAAAATGAGTTTTTTGCTCAAAAAGCCTCGAAAACAACAAAATTAACACTATTTGCCACATTGTTTACAGGTTTTTAGCTTCTTTTTGACAAAATTTCGAGAAAAACGCACAAAAAAGAAACAAATTGTTTTTGTTTTGTACCTAGTTTGTCGATTTTTCAAAAAAAAATCAGCTCTGATTAAACGGTTGAAAAAGGCAACAGTAATATTAATTTCGATCTGATTTGGAATTGNCAATCATTTTGGACCTAATTTGGTCATCTTTCAGACTATTTTTGATGAAATTTACGTACTAATACGTCGTAAAATGTACAAAATAACATTATTTTCGGGGTAGTTTAGGGATTTTTTTGGCAAAATTCCTCGAAAAAATGAGTTTTTTAATCAAGAACCTCGAAAACAACAAAATTAACACTATCTTCGACATTGTTTACTGGTTTTTAACTTCTTTTTGACAAAATTACGAGTAAACACGCAAAAAAGAAAAAAATCATGTTTTTTTTGTACCTAGTTTGTCGATTTTTCAAAAAAAAATCAGTTCTGATTAAACGGTTGAAAAAGGCAACAGTAATGTTAATTTCGATCTGATATGGTAATGTTTCGTCCTCTTTTAGGGAAATTGGGTAAAAAAGTTGAATTTTTACCTCAAAAACGAGCTGTAACTACCAAAAACCAATCATTTTGGACCTAATTTGGTCATCTTTCAGACTATTTTTGATAAAATTTACGTGCTAAAACTTCGTAAAATGTACAAAAGGACACTAATATCGGTCTAATTCAGGGATTTTTGCAAAATTTCGAGAAAAAAAAAGAATTTTTAGCTCAAAAACGACTATTTTCGGCTTAATTCTGTGAATTTTCGATTCGTTTTTCACAAAATTTTGAGAAACAAATGCGTCTCTGCTTGAAAGTCATGAAAAAACGCTCAAAAAAGGCCAAAATTATGTTTTCTTTGTACCTAAATTAGTGATTTTTCGGTGTTTTAGCAAAATCTCCAAAAAAAAAAAACATTTTTAGCCGTAGTTAAAAGCTTGGGAAAGGCAAAAGTAACATCAATCTCTACCTAATTTGATGATATTTCGGTATATTTTAGTAAAATCTCGAATAAAAACTGAGTTTTTTCTGAAAAACGTACTGAGACGTTCGAAAGAAGGCCAATTTTGATGTAATTTAGTAACTTTCCGGCCTATTTTTGATAAAATTGGAAATTTCCTAAAATAATAGTTTATGACCAAGAACGCTGAAAAATTTACAAAATAACATTATTTTCGGCCTAATTTTGGGATTTTTTGGCAAAAATTTGTGGAAAAAACTGAGTTTTTATCTCAAAAACGACATAACTAATATTATTTTCGACACTTATTCGGGGTTTTTAAGTTATTTTTGTCAAAATTTCCAGAAAAATGCGCAAAAAAACACATAAATTATCTTTATTTTATACTCAAAGTTAGAGTGCTTTTACTACTAATTTCAGTAGGTAAAGTAGTTTTTTATCGTCTAGTGAAATAAAGTAATTTTTGTCTACTGTTTATATTCAAGAAATTCTGGTAGGTGAGTATAAAATAAAACGAAATATTATACACGACGATAAAGATTGTTTATCGTCTTGTATAATATAAAATTATTTTTTTTTCCTAATTTGGCGATTTTTCAAAAAAAAAAATCTGCTCTGATTAAACACTTGAAAAAGGCAACAGTAACGTTAATTTCGATCTGATTTGGTAATGTTCCGCCTATTTTAGGGAAATCAGGCGAAGAAGTTGAATTTTTAGCTCAAAAACGTACAAAGATCCAAAAACGATCCCATTTTGGACCTAATTTGGTTATTTTTCAGACTATTTTTGATGAAATTTACATGCTAAAACGTCGTAGGTAGTATAATGTATAAAAGGACATTAATTTCGGTCTAATTCACGGATTTTTTTAGCAAAGTTTCGAGAAAAAATTTTTTTATCTCAAAAACGACCATTTTCGGCTTAATTCTGTGAATTTTCGATTCGTTTTTCACGAAATTTTGCAAAATAATTGCGTTTTTGCTTGAAAGTCACTATAAAACGCTCAAAAAGTAGTTAAACACTTGAAAAAGACAAAAATAACATCAATCTCTACCTAATTTGATAATATTTCGGCATATTTTAGTAAAATCTCTGAAAAACGTACTTAAGACATTCAAAAAGGTCAATTTTGATTTAATTTAGTAGCTCCGGCCTATTTTTGATAAAATTTGAAATTTTGTAAAATAATTGTGTTTCTGACCAAGAACGCTGTAAAATTTACAAAATAACATTAATTTCGGCCTAAAACTTGTGGAAAAAACTGAGTTTTTAGCTCAAAAACGACATAACTAACATTATTTTCGACACTTTTTCGGTTTTTTTTTGACAAAATTTCGAGAAAACGTGGTAAAAAGACAATGATAATATCATATTCTGATTTTTTGGTCCGGTTTAGCTCAAAATGTGCTAAAGACTTGAAAAAGGTAAACAATACACCATTTTCGGCCCAATTTGGAGATTTTTCGGCTTAAACAAATTGTAAATTTTTTCTACACATTCAATGTTTGTTTTTTGAGAATGAAAATTCATAAAAAAATAAAATCTGGAGCCCCCTTACCCTTTATATGCAGCACAATGAGTTGGCGTTTTCCCCGAGTCATCCACGGCATTTAAATCAACCCCAGCTTGAAGCAATTTCCTGCAACACTCGACATAACCGGCCAGACAGCACATATGCAGGGGCTGTCTCCCCTCGTAGCCCCTCTGTGAGGGATTAGCCCCATAAGACAACAATGTGTTAGTCAACAAATCGTGTCCATACCTCGCCGCAATATGTAAAGGCGTACAATCATTTTTATCCGGACAATCAATAATAGCCCCCTTATCAATCAAAATCTTACTTCTCGTAAACCTCCCATGTATTGCAGTCATATGTAGTGGAGTCCTACCATCAAGACTTTGTCTATTAAAATCAACCTTTTGCATGAGTAACAACATCATACAATCAACACCATTGGTACTAACAGCGGCGATATGTAAGGGCGTTTGCCCCCGGTAATTGACAGCTTCAACATCAGCCCCCGCATTGATCAATTCCTTATAGACTAAATGGTGTCCGTTGAGACAAGCAATATGCAAGGGGGTGTTCCCGAAGACATTTTGTGCGTTAACATCAGCCCCCTGACTGATCAAAAGCCGACAAACGGCGTCTCTGCCCCCCGCTGCAGCCACATGCAACGGCGTGTACTGATTCCTGTCTTTCGCATTAATCTCAGCTTTGTATCTTAACAACAATTCAATCACGTCCAAGGCCCCCATTTGCACAGCCCGATGCAGGGGGCGACAGTCCTTCTTATCGTAGGCGTTAACAATGCACCCCCGCGAAATCAAAAGTTCCACACAATCGGCCATTCCGCTATAAGCGGCGAGATGCAGGGCAGTGCGCCCCCCTCTGTCGGTGACATTGGGGTTGGGCACGTGAGGGAGCAACTGCTCGATGCACTTGTAAGCCCCATTGGCCGCAGCCACGTGTAGGGGGGTCTGCCATAGCTTGTCTCGGGCGTTTACATCCGCATTGTTGTTTAAAAGAATTGAAACTGTGTCATTGGCACACATGTAGCAGGCTTGGTGGAGGGGCGTCAACCATTTGGTGTCTTTCGCGTTGACTCGGGCCCCATTTGAGAGCAAAACTGAGGCTATTACGGCGTCCCCGATGAAAGCAGCAGCGTGAAGAGGGGTACGTTTTTTACTATCAGTGCAATTCACATCCTGTTTCGATTTAATCAGTTCTTTGTACTTTTCCGGTTCACAACCCACGAAAATTGCCTTAACGATGGGGGGCTGAAATTTGGTTAACATAACCTCACTTTTGCGGAAAACACTCACCTGTTCTTCCAACTGGTACAAGGCCATTCTTAACTTGGAACTTAACACGAGACATGAAATAAACAATGTGCTTAAAACATTACAATAAATTAAAATTAGCTACGTAAACTTAAATATCAAAAAATGTCAAACGTCAAATGACACAGTTGGTAGAACTGAAGTGGAAAATAAATCACAAAAATACGAATTAATCTCTATTTTGTCTATTAAACCACAGTTTTCGTGTTAATGAATCGTTTTTGTACACTGAATATTAAATTTGTAACAATTTTGGGAAAATAAAAAGAACAGGTTAGCCAATCCACTAGAACCACAATTACTAGGCATTTTAAATACATTTTTCATTTTTACAAGAACTATTAACATACATTATTTTAAATCACACTATTTGTGCAGTTTTCATGTTAAAGAATCGTTTTTGTAAGCTGTGCATTAAATTTGTAATAATTTGTAGGAAATACAAGGTAACAGGTTAGCCAATCTACACGAACCAAAATTACTACATGTGTTAAATATTTTTTTATTTGGGAAATTTGCACATCAATAATTAATCTAACGCTATGAAAGAAAATTCCTTCGTGGAAAATCACCGGACGCCAATTTTCTTGTAAGTAGCTCATTTACTGCAAAAGAAAAGTTTTTATGAAACAATAACAAAATATCACTCACGTTTAGCAGTCTCCCTGTTAACTTTTTCAACGTCTTCGACTTTTTTCTGGGCGGTGAACAATTCTTGTGACAATTTATTGATTCTTTCCACGTTGTATTCGGCTTTATATTCGTCAAACTCTTTACACAATTCGTGAAACCTGTGGTTTTGCTCTTGGATAATTTTTTCTTGTCGACTGATGGAATTTTTGAGTTCATCAATCTGCAATCAAGTGATAAAATTGAAATGAAACACGTTTCGTAATACTTCTTGATTCTTCGTGTCCAATAAGTGATTGAAATTGACGAGCATTTGGTTCGCTTTGACCACATCTCTGGCCAGTTCTTCATTGGCGGTGGTTTTTTGGGCTATAATCAACGTGGCTTGTTTCACGTCTTTTTCAAACTCATCCTGAAACCATACATAATTAAAAGTTCGGTAAAATAACAATTATTACTCTTTGTTTTTTCAGTTCTCGAAATTCAGCTTCTTGATTCTGAAGTGTGTTGTTTAAATCTGTGATGAGTTTTTCATTGTTAAGCTGTATTGATTTCAAATTACAGTTTTCTCGTTTCAGTTCATTGACAATTTTTGATGTTTCAATCGACTCAAGTCTTAGATTTTCCATGCTTTGCAATAAACGAGCACTTGAGTCCGACTTGAGGAGAGATTCGGTTTTGACTATTTCAACATCTTGGTATAATTTCAGCAATTTTTGTGTGAGTGCCAGAATTTTGGTTATTAGAAGAGCTGAACATTCTTGTAGTTTAGTTGAAAAAACACAATTCAGATTTTGCAAGTCTTTAAGGAAGCGTTTTTCGAGTTGTTTATTGAGTACAATGAACTTTTCAATTTCGTTGTCTTTGTCTCTTAACCGAGTTTGTGACATTGTTAATTGTGAAACTAAATTCTTATTAGCTGTTTGCAATTCTAAAATGTTGCTATTCATCTCATCAAAAATCTCCTTCTGGTTCGTTATTTGCAAATCAATTGTTAGGAAAATAATTGACTTGATTTTGGACTTCCCATAAAAGACTAATTTACCCAAATTGCTGTCAATTTCACACTTTAAAAACCTACAATTATGCGTTATGTTGTTTCATGATGCTAAAAACTTACATATCGTGTGTTTGCACTTGTTGCAACATATCAATTAAATTCGTTCTGAATTCATTGAAATCAATATCTAAACTTTGCTCACTTCTCATCAACTCAAAGTGTCTTAAATCAATGTGAGACGTGTAGTTAAACACAAAATCGGAGACATCACGCACTTTTATATGCTAAAAAACGTGAAAGACTGAAACTGAAGCACAAAATTGCAAGACTTACAATATACTCAGCTGATTCGGTCACGTTCACGTTCACGCACCGGTTTTCGATGAAACCATTTCTATTGAAAATTTGCAAATTGTGATTGTGGTCGTATAAACAATGAGCGTTCCTGTGTGCCATCAAGGACTATTTAAATTAAAAAAAAAAAAACACAAAGCATTTGGGGTTATGTTGGTTTTTTGAAAGAGGCATGGGGGAATTGATGTTGCCAATGGTAATACCAACTTAAAGGTTTGTAATGTACTGGGTGGCTCAAGAAAATTGCTCAGTTTTTGATTTATTCTTAATTTATGTTATAATTTATTTTACAGTTTTATTACTAGGTCCTATTACGTTTCCTCCTCATTCGTATCTACATTAGTACTTTCTATAATGGTCAATCTCTATTTTAAGTAATTGAGTGGTGAAAGTAGTATTGCATTTTTCTAAGGTTATTAAGCACACAGCTCCACATTTTTAGCTATAAAACGTGCAACTATGGCTATTTCTCGTGTAATAATATGTTTTAGTTGTCAAAAATAGTGGCCATTTTGCTTGGCACATTAATAATACTTTCGATAGATCAATTTTGAGCATTTACTTGGCACAAATTCTCTTCCCAATAGCCTCGCCCACTCTGTGTTATTTCCGATAGATATGTAATTCGTTATGATTGAAACTATTTTTGCAAAAGATTAGTAAAAATTCGCTTGGGCGAGGATATTGTTTCTCTTTCATTAATAGACGTCTATGATGATTCGTATATATCAGTCATTTCTCGTATCCGCACTTCCTCCTCTTGTGAATCTTTTTCGCAAAGGCTTGGCTGTGTTATAGTCCAAACTCGCTGATCGTTTTTCGCGCATTTGGGCCGCCAACATTTCGATTTCCCAATTGTTGCTGAAATTCTCGTATTCTCCCGATGAGTCTCCTTCGGTGTCGGTGGTCGAGTCGATGTCCAAGACGGTGGTTTGGGGGGTGGGTCGCCAGCTGTGCATGGGGGTCAGGGGGTGTTGGGGCAAGTCTTGCAACTCTTCGGTTTCCTCGTTGGTTGGCTCTTCCCACGATTGGTGCTCTCTGCTAATGACCGTCTCGAAGGAATCCTACATTTGAGATAGTTTCACAAAAATAACGATATGTACTCAATTATATTATACAGAGTGATCCACAAAAAAAAAGTTGTTGATCAGAAGTGTACACCAAGGGTTTCCATTGAAAATTCAAGTGAAGATTGCCAACAGAAACAGTTATTTTAGATCACTCTATACTTAGTTTTTTTTTTAACAATTGCCCTATTGATAGTTTTGCCCTGTTACCAGTGAAATTTTCCCAGATCTACGCAATTTTTTCGTAAAATTTGATTAAAAACAAGCCAAAACTTTAACAAAATAAGTCAAAAATGGTGTTATTTTTGCTTTTTTCAATTGTTTAAGAACGTTTTTTTTTTTAAATAAAAACAAAAAAAATCGCAAAATTTTGTTTAGGCAAAATAAAAAATTACAAAATTAGATCGAAATTGAGCAAAATTACCACAAAAATAACAGAGAATTTCAGGTTTTTTGTGAAATTTTGCTAAAGCAAATCAAAAAATCAACGAATTAAGTCGAAAATTATATTATTTTTGCGGTTCTCGAGTGTTTTAGCACCTTTTTTTTTTAGCTAGAAACGTAAAATTTTGTCAAAAAAAGTCCAAAATTCCAAAAAATTGGCCAAAAACGGTATTACTTTTGCATTTTTTTGAGTGTTTTAACATAAAAACAAAAAATTAAATGCTTTTGTTTAGATAGGCTAAAAAATTACAAAATTAAATCAAAACTGATATTTTTTGGGCCTGATTCGCTGTACTACTTACCTAAAAATCGCAAAAAAAAGATATTGATGTTATTTTGTTAGTTTCACTTGATTTAAATTGTTTTTGAGGAAAATTGAGATAAAAATGAGCCGAAAAAACACAAAATTTGGTTGAAAATGCCTTTAAGCACGTTTTTGCATTAAAATCTAAGTTTTTCACAAGATTTCGCTTTTAAAACAAATCAGAAAAACGACAAAATTGAGATTAAATAAGCCGAAAAACCACAAAGTTTGGTTGAAAATGCCTTTAGGCACGTTTTTGTATTAAAATAAAAATAAAAGTTTTTCACAAGATTTCGCTTTTAAAACAAACCAGAAAAACGATAAATAAAGTCGAAAATTGCGTTTCTTGAGTGTTTTAACACGGTTTTCAGCAAGAAACGCAAAATTTTGTTAAAAATAAGGCAAAAATTCGAAAAATAGGTCAAAGACTGTTATTTTTGCTTTTTTGAATGCTTAAGCACATATTTGAAATAAAAATAAAAAAAATCGAAAAAATTAAATTTTCTAAACTGGCTAAAAAATTACAAGTATAAATAAAGATGGATATTTTTTTAGCTTATTTCGCTCGACTACACACCTAAAAATTAAAAAAAAAAATGGATAATAACCGTATTTTGTTTGATTTAAATGATTTTTGAGCGAAATTGCGATGAAATTTGTTCGAAAATGGTTTTTGAGCACGTTTTTGCACTAATATCTAAAGTTTTTTGCGAGATTTTGCTTTTAAAACAAATCCAAAAAACGAGAAATAAAGTCGAAAATTATAACTTTTTTGGGGGTTTTCAAGTGTCTTAACACATTTTCAGCTAGAAACGCAAAATTTTGTTAAAACAAGTAATAAACTCAAAAAAATTGACCAAAAACGTGTCATTTTTGCCTTTTTTCGAGTGTTTAAAACCGTTTTTGAGATAAAAAAAAAACAAACAAAAAAAATAGAAAACGTTAGATTATTTTGCTCGACTTTCTTCGTTTTTGAACCAGAGACTTATCTGTTTTGCATAATCTTGTCCAGACACGCCTAAAAATCACAAAAATGAATTGTTTCAAACTTAATTGGTATTTGAGCAAAATTACGACAAAAATAAACCGAAAATCTCAGATGTTTCGCAAGATTTCGCTAAAACAAACCAAAAAAAATCGTCTAATAAAGTCGAAAATTTTCGCGTTTCTCGAGCGTTTTAGCACGTTTTTTAGCTAGAAACTCAATTATTTAGCAAAATCACGTCATTTTTGCTTGTATCGAGAATTTAAACTGAAAACTTTTTTTTTATCTTTGATAATTTTTTCACACAAGCATTTTTAGTAACACTATATTAAAAGCCATCTAATTATTTTTTTAATTTAAAAAATTACCCTGCATTATGTAACTCTTAGATCTGGTGAAAATAGTTGTAAATTTGGAATTTTCTAACTCGGATCTGGTGAGTTTTTTTTGACCTGTCAACAGTGACTATTGTCGACACATTCTAATTGTCAATGCTTTAAACTTTAAAATGTGAAATTCACCATATGACGTTTTCACCAACTTAATAATTTTTTGAAAAAAAAAACTAACTATATTGTGTCTCCAAATAAATTTTTGATTGGAGTGATCTATGATCTAAAATTGTTTCAATTTATGAAGCATTGCCAACTTAATTAGAAATTCACAGACCACTCTGATGGGTAAAAATCTTGCAGAACATACAGGGTGACTACAAAACTCATGCAAGTAATCGGTTTTCCCACTCACTCCAATCGATTCTTCTGCACTTTTCTCCAATTCCCAAATGTGTGCTTTAAGTTGGTTTATAATCTCGTCTTTGCTTCTAACTTCCTCTTCCAACCGCTCGAACCTTTGGTAAAACTTCTCTTGCAGTTCCTGAAGATGTGCACTCATGACTTGCTTGATTGCTAAGAGAATATCAGCGAAATAGTGTTGTTCATCGCTGATTAATTTGACTTGATTATTGGGTTTATTAACAATCTGAACGCCATTTTTATGATCCATTGTACTTTCATTCTTTTCCGATGTCGCCGAATTGACAAAAGTAAAAAGATTTGACGACCCGATCACCACAGCACTGTTAGGGGGGCTCTGCAGGGTGTCTCGATTAAAAGTGACACTTTTGGAGAGTTTGCTATGTCGCGCCGCATAGCCCTCAATCGTGGGGGCCCTCATCAACTTCCTAAACTCCGTCGAGTCGATCTTCTTCGGCATTGTCGCGACTTGCGCTTCCGTTTCTTCGGACAATTTCTTCAGAATCGAGCGAAGATTTCTTCGTTCGGGGGTTTCGTTCGATTCGTTACTCGAGTGGAGCTCACTGAGGGGCGTGGAGAGGAGATTCTTGTCGTGGTGCATGGTGGAGCCCTCGGACTGCGACCGCGTCAATGTGTCCACTTCCATTTGACTCGAATCGGGGATATCTAAACTAAAACTACGCGTTTTCATCACAGTTTCCAGTTCTTCGAGCTTTTGTCTCTCGTTTAAAATCTTCAGTTTTTTCACGAAGGGCAAGCCGCCGTATTCGGGAGACAGGTCGTCAATCGACCTGAAACAAATCGTCAGTTTGGAAGTGGGGGGTGATGGGGGCATCTACCTGTAGTGTTTTGTTCTTCCAGTGAGGACAAGTTTGGGTTTGGGGTTTGGGGGTTGCACTGAATCGGCGGGGGGCGCACTAGTGGAGGGATCGGAGGCGTCGCGAGAAATCGCCGCCTTTTTCAGCTTACTCCAAGGGGGCTCACTTTTGTCCAGTTCACTAACACTATCACTTGCACTAATGGACGGTTCTTTGGCGTCTTTTGGGGCACTCGAATGGAACTTGAGACGCTCCCTGGAACATAATTTTCAAAAAATGTTATACAGGTGACCAAAAAAATGTTAAAATATTTGGTGGAGTGATTTCTAGGTCAAAATAAGAAGATAAGTTTCTATGACATACCTAGATATTTAGGTATGTGGTTTCTATGGACATACAAATTTGTCAAGAAGAAATTACCACCTAGGATTTGAATTTTTAGGAAAATTACGTTTATCATGTTGTTTGTAACTAGAATTGTCAGATGTAATTTTGAATGCCTAGAGTTGGTTACCCCTTGTTTTTGTCAACCTGCTGTCAAGTATCAATTGAGTTATCTATACATTTTAACGTTTTAGATATTTTGAAATGTCAAATTTGACGTTAAAGCTGGCTTCACAGTGATTTTCAATGTCAAGTGTCAAAATGACCGGGATTTTTGAAATTTTGAAAATTTAAATAATATCAAAAAAATAAAATTTTAAACATGTGATTGAAAAAACGCTATTTTGTTGAAATTTGAAGTAAAGAACTGGAAGAGCGAGTTATAACTCACCCTTTCGTTTTCGCGGCGAAATCCGAGTTTAAACGCCCCCGAGGGGCTATTTTTGCACAAAATGAAGCTTATTAAAATGGCATTTGACTGTAAAAAAATGGTAAGATTGCAATGGCTTTTTAGGGTGTAATGAATTTTTCTCATTTTCTCAAAATTCGTTAATAATACAAACTTAATTTTTTTCAAGTGTCATCCCGTGTATAGATTTTTTTCATTTTTGCAGATAATAAAGCCTATTAAAGGGGCATGTGACTGTAAAAAAATGGTAGGGTTACAATGGCTTTTTAGGGCTGTAATGAATTTTTTTCGTTTTCTCAAAATTCGTTAATAATACAAACTAAATTTTTTTCAAGTGTCATCCCGTGTATAGATTTTTTTCATTTTTGCAGAAAATAAAGCTTATTAAAATGGCATTTGACTGTAAAAAAATGGTG